AAAAAAGCAACCTTTTTGCCCAATATGGTCTAGTTAAGTTGCAAAAAAAGAAACTTTTGTGGTCATGATCTATGTTCCTTTGCGAAATTTTTTTTTTGTTCCAATATTGTCTTATTGGTCAAGTGTATGTAATGGCCTTTTGAGTACCACGATCTAGTTACATGAGGCTGAAAAAGGTCAATTTTTATCAAATTGCTTCTCTGCTGCTTAAACTGTATGCTGGGCCAAGGGCGAACAGCGAGACGAGCGGACCCATTGCGTACAAAAAAATAAAATCGAGAAAATCACCCATGACCAGGTTACTCAACTCGCAAATTGGACAAGTTATGCTGGGGATTATGAGGCGGGATCGTTAGCGGTCTTGGTAATTGCACAGGCCAATTACCTAGGCACGTGAGCGTGTGCGTGCACGTGTGTGTGTGTGTGTGTGTGTGTGTGTGTGTCCGCGTGCGCTGCGTCCATGTGAAAGGCTTTTACCGGAAAAAGTGAAAGTGGAAAGGACGTCTTCTTTTTTTTCTCTCTCACTCGCGTAATTTCTTCTTTGGTAACAAGGACGTCGCAAGATTGTTTTCTCGATCTATTAATTTTTCTTAGCCTTTTGTTAACCAAGACGGCGTCGGTCCCACGAGGAGTTATCGCTTTTTTCCTCCCTACCGGGAACCTTTTGATCCATGGGGTGTCTTGGAGGAATCTGGAAAATAATAACGATCGTTGAACCCAAAAAAAAGTTTCATTGCACTATATATTGTACCCTTATCTAATCATACCGCCGAGTACATTTTTTTTCAGTTATCTAATCGTAACGATCCATTATGCCTTTCGCAAATCATATAATTGGCTAATCACATAAGTTGTTGCGTCTTTATATACCAATTCATTTTTGTACAATCGTAGAAAAAAAAATTTAAGATAACAATTGCTCTCCAAGCATTTAAATGAAATTTCACAACGGGTTAATTGCAATTTGTTCCACTGTTAAATCAAATTGATCGTTCGTTCATCCGTTCACTCAGATTGATTCGCTCGCTCATCTATTAGATTGATTTCATGGTTCATCGTTTCCTCAGACTGATTCGTTCGTTCTTCCGTTCACTCAGATTGATTCGCTCGCTCATCTGTTCAACTAGATTGATTTCATGGTTCATTGATTCCTCAGAAAATGAGTCGTTTATGTATTTCCTTAATTGGATTCGTTCGTTCTTCCGTTCACTCGGATTCGATCTGTCGTTCATCGTTCTCCCAGATTGATTTGTTCGTTTGTGCCGATAGTTCGTTCCTTCATGTGTTTCCTCAGGTTGATTCGTTCGCTCATCTGTTCCATTATATTGCTCTCATGGTTCATTGATTCCTCAGATAGTTCGATTATGTATTTCCTTAATTAGATTAGTTGGTTCATCCGTTTTCTCAGATTTAATCTGTCGTTCATCTATTCCCTCAGACTGATTCGCTCATTTGTTCCGTCAAGTAGTTCGTTCCTTTTTATATTCTCTTAAATTGTTTGTGTAGATCTCTGATAGTTCTTTCATTTACACATTGTCTTAAATTCATTGTATAGTTCTCTAATAGCTCGTTCATACATTCTCTTTAATTGATTGTGTAGTTCTCTAATAGCTCGTTCATACATTCTCTTTAATTGATTGTATAGTTCTCTGATAGTTCATTCGTTCTTATATTCTCATAAAATTGGTTCTGTGGCTCTCTGATGGTTCCTTCATTCACACATTATCTTAAATTCATTGTACAGTTCTCTGATAGTTCGTTCATGCATTCTCTTAAATTGATCATAGTTTTCTGATAGTTCGTCCGTTCGTAAATTCTCTTAAATTGATTGTATCGTTCTCTGATTGCCGTTCGTTTGTACATTCTCTTAAACTGCATAGTTCTCCGATAGTTCGTTCGTACATTCTCTTAAACTGATTGTACAGTTCTCCATAGTTCGTTCATACATTCTCTTAAATTGATTGTGTAGTACTCTGATAATTCATTCGTACATTCTCTTAAATTGATTGTACCGTTCTCTGATAGTCCGTTCCTTCATACATTCTCTTAGATTTATTGTACCGTTCTCTGATAGTCCGTTCCTTCATACATTCTCTTAGATTTATTGTACAGTTCTCTGATAGTTCGTTCGTATAATGTCTTAAATTGATTGTACAGTTTTCCGACAGTTCGTTCATACATTCGCCTAAATTAATTGTATAGTTCTCTGATAGTTCGTTCGTACATTCTCTTAAATTGATTGTATAGTTCGTTCGTTCATCCATTCTTTCAGACTGATTCGTTCATCTGTTCCGTCACGTGGTTCGTTCATATATTCTCTTAAATTGATTGTATAGTTCTCCGATCGTTCGTACATTTCATCAGATTGAATTGAACGTTTGTCTTTCCGTTCAGATTGATTTGTTCATGGACCGTATCATTCGGTCACGAGTCTAATCCGTTACTGGGAGCCACACACGAGCGACCGCCTTTCGTCGCCCGCCCCGATTTTCCGCCCCCCAAAACGCATCGCCTCGGAGCCGCTCAACAGGAAACCCGATCCTTTCTAAAAATTGCCCGCCGCCCCCTCCCGGGTATATTTTTCCATATCTATTTCAGAGTGGGTAGGTGCTAAAATATTGCACGGTCTCGTTATTTCTGTAACTAGACGCATTTTGGCGTAAAGCCCGCGGCCGGCAGGCCAGAGACGGTTTGTACACAAAGCCTCTTGGGCATTTTCTAAACAACAACAACAAGTTTGGCCCGAATCTCAGTTTGGCCGGTTTTCTACCCGACGCAACTATTATTATTATTATTTTTTAAAAATAAAAATCCAATCTTCGACAGTGGAGATTAGGTGTTTTTCGGTCCCCTCGCTGCCGGCTCACGTCCGACAACGGCAAATCGACTTTCGCCTCCGTTTCTCTCTCTTCTTTTTCGAAAACGGGGAACGGACCTGCTGTGCGCACACCTCTCGCCTGCTTTCTGGGTCAGCTTTTTCCTCAGCGGCCCGCGAGACGCGGGCGCCTCGCGTAATTGGCGTCGATTAACGTCCCCAATTGCGTCGCGGAAGCTCCAGTTCCTTTCGAATTAACCGTGGGGGCGCCCCTTTTGGTGCTTTGGTCGCCTCGCTCCTGGTGGACTGGAAGCCCGTTAGGATCAATCCGATAGATCGAAACAGTAAATAATTGACCTAGCAAAAAAAAAGACATTTATAACTGCAAGTGTGTTTAAAGCTCTCAATCTAGAACTATCTCGTCCCTTATCGCCTTATCTGCACGTCCCCGCTTTAAAAATAGAAAAAACATATCCATATGAACAAAAAAAAGACTAAAATTCGTGCCCTAAACAAGAAAGTCGTATTAACAAACAAACGGTGTGATAAAAAAAAAGCCTAGCGGTATCACGTGAATTGACAAAAACGCCCTTCATGAAATGATTTTGTGCTTGGAAAATATTAATTTAGTAGTCACAGAATTATTTTGATTTAGTTTACATGCATATTGAGCGGATAAACGGATGTTGAACGAGTCAATCGATTCATTCACTTAATGAATCCATCAGTATATACATAAACTGACTAAAAGTAAATCGATTCGTTGTTTAACTGAAGAATGAATCGATTCATACTGACTATTCGGCGAATTTATAAAATGACTGTAATAGTGAATCGATATGTAAATGATGAACGGTTCAAAGAACGATTGAATCGATTCATAGATTGACCGAAATAATCCACGGATTCATAAAATGACTGTAACAGAGAATCGACATGTAAATGATGAACGATTGAATCGCTTCATAGGTTGTCCGAACTAATCCGCGGATTCATAAAATGACTGTAACAGTGAAATGGTATGTAAATGATGAACGATTCAAAGAACGATTGATTTGATTCATAGATTGACCGAACTAATCCACGGATTTATAAAATGACTGTAACAGTGAATCGATATGTAAATGATGAACGGTTCAAAAAACGATTGAATCGATTCATAGATTGACCGAAATAATCCACGGATTCATAAAATGACTGTAACAGAGAATCGATATGTAAATGATGAACGATTGAATCGCTTCATAGGTTGTCCGAACTAATCCGCGGATTCATAAAATGACTGTAACAGTGAAATGGTATATAAATGATGAACGATTCAAAGAACGATTGAATCGATTGGTAGATTGACCGAACTAATCCGCGGATTCATAAAATGACTTTAACAGTGAATAGATATGTAAATAATGAACGATTCAACGAACGATTGAATCGATTCGTAGATTGAGCGAACCAATCCATTAATTCATAAAATGACTGTAACAGTGAATCGATATGTAAAGATGAACGATTGAATCGATTGATAGATTGACCGAACTAATCCACGGATTCATAAAATGACTGTAAGTGAATCGATATGTAATTGATGAACGATTCAGAAAACGATTGAATCGATTCATAGATTGACCAAACTCTTCTATGGATTCATAACATGTCTGTAAGAAACAGTAAATCGATTTGTAAACGATGAACGATTCAACGGAATCATTGATTGACCGAACTAATCCACGGATTCATAAAATGACTAACACTAAATAGATTTGGAACTGATGAAAGAGTGAAATGATTCATAGATGAAGTGAACAATTGAAACGGTTCATTAACTGTCGAAACGTATGAATCGATTCCTACATTGGTGGAGCAAGTGAACCGTTTACTATATGAGCGAAAGAATCGGTACGGCTGTTAAGGTTAATGAATTCGTGTGCTGACAGAGTGAATGTTAACCGACTGAAGGAGGGATTCTTTGATGTCGTCAGCTTTTGACGAATAATTGTCTATCAGCAGATCAATTTGTTTACGTAAAGACTGAACGATTCGTGACCGTTTGTAAGTCTGCTGCTCACATAAGGTTTTATTTGCTCGTTAAAGGTTTGGTACGTTGCTTGATTTAGAGAATGAGCAGAAGAGTGTTTTTTGTGTGGTTTTTGTTTTAAATTGATTAACCTTTAACTTTTTTTTTCAGGTGACGCACAAAGTCACAGGAGAAGTTATGGTTCTCAAGATGAACCTCCTGAGGTCGAACCGGCCCAACATGCTTAAGGAGGTTCAGCTCATGAACCAGCTGAGCCACCCGAACATTCTGGGGTGAGTCACAATTTTGTTTACCACTTTATTTCCCCCATCCCGTTTTCTTGTCACGATGGTGATGATGGGGGCCTTGATTCACTTTCCGTACACGGCTCAACGCCACGGCCGTCCGGGCCAAAGATGGAAACCCCGGCCATATACAGGGTGTTGCACAACCTCGTCAGTGCCCACGTAACTGGGGCAAGGGACACGGGGCTCCGGAGGAAGGAAAAACGGGGTTCAACCTCATCCGCGTAATCGGGAAATCATTTGCATACTGACTGACCGGCTTAGTTATATGTTGAACGATTCAATGACCGACTGGCCGGATGAACACTGAGCAAATGAGTGGTTCCCTGGATAAATCTGTTTATGAATCAATTCGCTCGTTCAGTCAGTTAATGAATCGATTCAGTTGTTCAAACAGTTTATCATTTNCTAGATCAACTGAACGATAGAATCGATTCATAAATTGGATGAAACAATGAATCTAGTGCTAGATTAACCTGAACGATAGAATCGATTCATAAACTGGCTGTAACAATGAATCTAGTCCTAAATTGACTGAACGATAGAATCACAATGAGTCGATTCCTAGATTAACTGAATGATAGAATCTATTTATAAACGAAGAATCGAATAATCAAATTGGGAGTTGGGAATCGTGACTCGATTCTTTGAATCATTCTCGTTTCCTGTGCCCATCTCTACTCCTGAATGGCTGCAGGTCGCCTCAAACGTGAGGCCAACTTCCCACAAACGATTCGTTGATAAAGGCCTTGCATCTCGTACTTAATTTAGGATCTGTTGGACATGGAAACGGTTCCGTCTTGCACGACAATATTTCTGTCCTTCCTTAAGAGTCGTAATGCGCTGAGATCCACTACCAGGTCTCCTGTTGGCACTAACAGTCTCTCATTATTGAGAAAATGCATCTGAGATATCCACCTTCAGGTTCAAGATGATGTCTTTTCATGGTTAAAGATAATAAAACTGGTTTAAATTGGAGAAAAGACGAGAAAAGGTGTTCGTTTACAAAATGAATAATTTCCGTGTTAAGTAAATCCGTTAATAAAAATGAGGATTAATTCAATTAAAATGAATAGAATAAGGATAAATTTCCGTCAAAATATGTGTTTTGTGCGAGTGTATTTATTAGAGTGAATGGGGAGGGGATGATGGTACGTGACTTGGGTCGATGGCGGAATATTGATAAAGTGTCCCAATTAGATCAATTCATAATTGTACGCAGGTCGATGGAGGAATATTGAGCACTCCATCTACTAAATAGAACGAATGCAATATAGTTGTGAATATATTTATTTGCGTGAGTGCTTATCGTTGTATTTCGCATGCACGCGGTCTGTAATGACCAAGCGGTCGGATGCCCCTTAAAAATAAATAAATTACAAATATTCCTATTCATTTTTGAGCAGTCTTTCCACGTTTTTCCTACTTTTATTTTTCAAAAAAGAAAAAATGTATTAATTTTTTTCGTGAAATATTTTTCTCACTGCGTTCTATTTTCAGGTTCATGGGTGTCTGCGTTCACGAGGGGCAGCTTCACGCATTGACCGAGGTAAGCTAGAAGCTATTTGAAATTTTTATGTATATATATATTTTTTCTCCCCTTATCCTCTCTCTATCTCAGACAGACAGACAGTCACTTTAAAATTTATGCAGTGGGCGTGCATGCGAGCGAGAAAGTGAGAAAGTCGAGCGTTAAGAAGCCGTGTCCAAATTACGAAAGGGGAGAAGACGAGATCCAACTGCGCGCGTTTGCGTGTGCAGTCGGTTTGAAAACTACCTAACATAATAAAATATTTAAAAAACATGGTAGTATGGAACTGTAGGTGTATTGGGAGGGCCATCTAATGACAGGTTGGGCGAACTCTATATACTGACCTCCGTACCCCACAGGGGAGGAGGAGGCACTCATGATCTCGGAATTTATGAAACTGAAACTGTTACGTCTAGTTAGGCATGTTCTTACTATCCCAGAATCCCTAATCGGCTAATACTAAACACACAATTTCATGTATGTCGACATTGTTATCGACATACATGATTTCGTTAATGTGCTGCTGTATATAAAAGGGAATGTGTCCCGGGGTAATGTGCCCATTTTTTTATTATTTTTTCTCTCACAAGCAACCCTTGCGAGAGGGAAGACAATCCACCTGCCCCCGATTAAGATTACAAGTGTTTAAATAATACATCGTCCATTCAGTTTTGTGTACAAGTATTATTACCCCGGGTCACATACATGACATTTAACATTATGATAAACAAAATCATTATAAATTTTTAAATTTATATTTGACGTTAACCTTGATTATTTGTCATATAATTAGATATTTTGTTTTAATAATGTTTGATCAATTTTGTTAAATAATAGTTTGCTAATTACTTATATTATAATGATCTACATATATATGTATATATACATACATAACCATACACACATGCATACATACGTACGTACATACATACATATGCATACACACACGTGCGTTCTTACACATACATACGTGCATATTTACTCACACACATTCATACATATGCGTACATATACACATACGTACATACACATGTACATACAACTTTATTTACTCACTCTCCTTCACCCCCATTTTATAACATGTAATCCTTTTGCTTCTTCTTCTCTCTCTCTTTCACACACACACACATGCGCGCACGTGTGTGTATTTGTGTAGAAACAACTCACCCGTTCGTAAGTTGTGAACGACTTGCATTTCAAGATTTTTATAGGGGGAGAGGGGTGTTTTTAATTTTTATGAATTAATTTATTATTTAATTAATTTGTTGCTTATTTTATTTACTTTTAATTTCAATTTCAAAAAAAAATTTCTTTATTTCTCCTTCATCCTCAAAAAAGCGACACCCCCAGGATATATGGATATTTTTTTATTTTTTGCCTTTGAACGATGCCCTTATTTGAACGTGCAGTCCCGTTCCACGGTGTTTTCACTCTCGTCTGCTTCTAATTAGCTTAAGAGGACCTTAACAAACAATAAAAAAAAAAAAAGAACGGCGTTTGATTACAATTGTTAATCGGCCACTTTCCAAAAGGTGGAAAATACAAAATAAAAATAAAATACTCTCAGGGGGTTTCCCTCCGGTTTTAAAATTTTCCCAAAGATCCCTTCCTTCCTTCTTTCCTTCCTCCTATGCAAATAATTGTTCACATCCGTGGGAGAAACCTTTTCATTTTCGGTTTTCTAACAAATTGCGCAACCGTTGAAAGGTAGGAACGAAGAATACACCGTCTCTCGGATGGGAAGAGTTCGTATGTTTGTATTGTGTCCCCTTGGAGAAGTCCGAAAGAGAGAAAGACAATAAGAATGATGGCGTATCAGGATGAATGATGTGTTGATTCACAGAGTCAACAGATCAACGACTGAACGGTCAATTCGACGTAAGGCTGAGTATATATTAGCTGACTGACTGGATGATTCATAGATTCACAGTGAACGATGAGCTGAATCTGATTGTACGATTCGTAGATTGACAGTGAACGATGAGTTGGCTGACTGGAAGATTCGTAGATTGACAGTGAACGATGAGCTGACTGACTGGACGATTCGTAGATTGACAGTGAACGATGAGCTGACTGACTGGACGATTCGTAGGTTGACAGTGAACGATGAGTTGGCTGACTGGAAGATTCTTAGATTGACAGAGAACGATCTGCTGTCTGATTGCACCATATTCACAAAATTGACAGTGAACGATGAGCTGAATCAGACTGGACGATTCGTAGGTTGACAGTGAACGATGAGTTGGCTGACTGAAAGATTCTTAGATTGACAGAGAACGATCTGCTATCTGATTGCACCATATACATAAATTGACAGTGAACGATGAGCTGACTGACTGGACGATTCGTAGGTTGACAGTGAACGATGAGCTGACTGACTGGAAGAATTGTAGATTGACAGTGAACGATGAGTTGGTTTACTGGAAGAATCGTAGATTGACAGAGAACGATGAGTTGACTGACTGCACCATATTCGTAGACTGACAGTGAACGAATGAATCGTCATTGACGGAATGAAATTCGATGAATGACAGAGGGAACGAATGAGTAAAATATTGTAATTAAACAATCTGTGAATTGATGGAAATTAGTTTAGGACTAAACGATTCATTGATAGACGAAGTGAACGAGTCAATGATTAAACGATCTATTGACAGACCAAGTGGGCTAGTCAGGGACTGTGAGCGATCCGTTGACAGATCAAGTGAACGAGATTGGTTCATTGACTGAACGATTCATCAACATACCAAGTGAACCAGTCAGGGACTGAACGATGCATTGACAGATCAAGTGAACGATAGTTTTTTCCACATGACGACTCATTGGCAAACCAGTGAACGAGATTAGTTCATTGACTGAACGATTCATCGACAGCCCAAGCGGATTAGTCAAGGACTGAACGATTCATTGACAGATCAAGTGAACGAGATTAGTTCATTATGATTGAACGATTCATCAACATACCAAGTGAACCAGTCAGGGACCGAACGATCCATTGACAGATCAAGTGAACGATAGTTTTTTTCTACTTGACGATTCATTGGTAAACCAAGTGAACCAGTCAGGGACTGAACGATTCATCGATAGACCAAGTGAACCAGTCAGGAACTGAACGATCCATTGACAGATCAAGTGAACGATAGTTTTTCCACGTGACGACTCATTGGTCCAAGATTAGTTCATTGACTGAACGATTCATCGACAGACCAAGTGAACGAGATTAGTTCACTGACTGAACGATCCATCAAAGGACCAAGTGAAAGATTTTTTTACTTGAGGGTTCATTAGTAAAAGTGAACGAGATTAGTTTAGACTGAACAATTGATTGACAGAACAAGTGAAAGAGTTTTTTTTAATCGACAGACCAAGCAGACTAGTTTCTGACTGAACAAGATTCGTTAACTGACCGAACGATCCATGTACAAACCAAGTGAACGAACGAGATTCGTTTATTAACCGAACTATGTATTGTCAGACCCAAGATTCGTTTACCGACGTTGCCCCACTAAGTGAACGAATCGAAGCGAACGATTTCTTCATCAACGTCCACGTACTGGATTTTCCACCGTGACAAATAACGATTCAATGTACTTTTTTCTCTTTCTTTTTCTTATTTGATTTGTTTTCACTTTATAGTACATAAACGGAGGTCGCCTTGAACAGATAATCCAGAACAGGTCGATACCTCTGCCATTCTCGGTCAGGATGAAGCTGGCCCTCGACATCGGAAAGGGTATGGAATACCTACACTGCAAGGACATCTTCCACCGGGACTTGACCTCAAAGGTAGGTGACGTTTTTCCTAGGTTTAATTTTTCTTCTTTTTCTTTTAACATTTGTATTTTATTTTTGTCCTTCCGCAGAACGTCTTGGTGAAGACGAACAACGAAACAGGAGAAATGACGGCAGTCGTCGGCGATTTCGGATTCGCCGCTAAAATACCGAAGTAATTTTCTTGTTTTTTATTCTTCTTTTTGGTTTTCTTCCCCCTCCCCGGACTGTTGTTTAACATTTTCCTATGGTGCACAGCAGGTGCGGCTACAGGCTGACGACCGTCGGCTCGGCCTACTGGATGTCCCCCGAATGCCTGAAAGGCGAGTGGTATGATCAGTCGTCGGATGTCTTCTCATACGGGATCATACTCTGCGAGCTTATCGCCCGAGTTGAGGCCGACCCCGACATCCTCACTAGGACGGAAAACTTCGGCCTGGATTACATCGCTTTCGCCAAACTCTGCCAGGCCGAGCAGCCGCCCTCCGCCTTCCTCAAGCTCGCCTTCACCTGCTGCAACGTAAGTCAAACCAAGACTTTTTTCTTTTTTCCTTTTAATTTCCTTATATTTTTTTACGACTGATCGCAGTACGAGCCGAGGCAGAGGCCGAGCTTCGCGGAGATTGTGCCCCAGCTGGAGAACATCATGTGGAACGCGAAAGGTCCTCACAAGTCTGAGGCTGACGCGAGTTGTTCCACGCAATTCTCGAAAGATGCTTCGCCTCACACAAAACGTAAGCCGATTAAAATTGAACGGTTGTCATGAATAATGATAGAGTCTAACCAGTGTATTTGAAGATCGATTCAACGATTCTTAGACGAACGAGTGAATACGCCGTGAGATTAACTCAACGATTGAATCGATTCATAAACCTACTGTAACAATGAACTGATTTCCTAGATTAACTGAACGATTGAATCAATTCATAAACCGACTGTAACAGTGAATCTATTCCCAGGTTAACTCAACTATTGGATCGATTCTTAAACCAACTGTATCAATGAATCGATTCCTTGATTAACTGAACGATCGAATCTATTCGAATAAGTGACTCGGTTCCTATATTTACTGAGCGATTCAATCGATTCTTAGAATGACATAACTAGTGAATGATTCAAACATACATCGACCTGAACGAGTTAGCAAATTTCTAGATTTACTGAATGATTGAATCGATTCTTACAATTAATGAACGATTGACTGGGGTCCTACAATGATTGACTGAATGAATCGATTCATACATTCGCCTGAACGAGTGAATCGATTCCTGGAATGACTGAACGATTGTATCGTTTCTTACATTTATTGAACGATTGAACTTATTCTGAACGAGTTAATTGGGTCTAGAATGACTGAACGATTGAACTTATTCTGAACGAGTTAATCGGGTCCTAGAATGACTGAATCAGTAAACTGCTTCTAAGATTTACTGAACTAGTGAATCTGTCATCCCATGTTAACTGGACGATTGATTCAATATTCTAGATTAATGAACGATTGAATCGATTCCTAGAATGACTGAACAATTGAATCGTTTCTTACATTTATTGAACGATTGAACTTATTCTGAACGAATTAATTGGGTCCTAGAATGACTGAACGATTGAACTTATTTTGAACGAGTTAATCGGGTCCTAGAATGACTGAACAATTGAATCGTTTCTTACATTTATTGAACAAGTGAACTGATTCTTGTATTTACTGAACTAGTGAATCGATTCCCATATTTACTGAACGATTGAATTGATTCATTAACTGATTTTGTGCCTATTTCAGATGATTAACTAGTGCACAAATGAATAAATGACGTGAACTTTGACGGTTTGGAAATAGGTGTAAATTATTATTATTATTTTTTCAGTCGGCCATAGAAGATCACTCTCAGATGATGTGATACGAGTTTTAGGCGAGACCATGGCTCAGCAGGACGTCCATTACAAACCCGCTGCGCAGAACCCGTTTGCCAACATTCCCGCTTTTAAGGTATTATTTTCAATTCTGCAATTATCGTTTTTGTTTAATTAATTTTGTTTTAGGGAGGTAAGAAAATTGTCAACTCGTCGACTGAGGCCACGACGTCTGAGAGCGACGCTTCCGTGGAGAGCAGCACTGTCGTCGCCGAACCGGTAGTCAAACCGTCCAAGGTGCTCGAGAGCATCCGCCAGCGTGAGAAGATGGACCAAGCATCGTTGCTCGATGCCATCTTCTCCGGGCGGTGTTTCAGCCTAGGCTCACCGTCTGAACGTGACAGGAGGAAGACGGACGAGGATGAGAGCGGCGGTGTAGGAGGCAGTGGCTGCAGCAAGGGAGGGGGGTGCGACGGAAGGCGCCGGACCCTGCCAGTAGTCATGCCACCTTCTCTTCCCTCATCACCGACCTTCTCGAGGAGGGCCGACTCAAAGGACAAGCCACAATCCTCACTGCTCCAGTCGTACAGGACGTTCTCATCAGGGTCAAACCTCGCCTTCTTGGATGACCACGCTATACCGACCGTCCTGCACAGAAGGGGCTCATGCGAGAGCGGATTCTTCTCCAGCGTTGGAGAAGACTTCTGCCACCCTAGTAAAAGATTACAATTGTGCTACGATATATTTTTTCCTGTAATTAATTTTTTTCTTTCAAGGTAACGATCTGATCGCCTCGTCTGTGACTCTATCGTCGAGTTCTGCCGCTTCGTCCCTCCTACTCGATTCAGGGAGTTGCGAAGGTTTTTGCTTAAGGTACTGCCATCACATAAGAAACGCCTTGAATGGGTCGAGTGATTCAACAGAGGACGTTTCAATAACAAGCGATCACATCGTAAATATCATGATTAAGCGTTTTCAAATTACAGTTTTTAAAAAAAATTGTGATCTAGGTGGACGAAAAAGTTGGGAAGTGCGCCTTTTCGCAGAGCCAGCACCAACAGCAGATCCAGAAAATGGTCGAGTATTTCGAGCGCAAAGGCGAACACCGCGACTACTACCGACACCTGCGGCACGAGTGCCGGCCGCGACGCCCAACCCAAATGCACAGGCTCATTGTGTGCGAAGGCGCCGTACGGAGCAAGCTGCAGATCTTCGACAAGAAGTGACGCACGGCGAACTCCGACCGTTTCGGCCTCTTCCCGCCCTGAAAAGTCTTCCCTTCAGATTCTTTATACTCCGTGTTTACTTTTTCTCTCCCCCCTCGGTGCCACCCCCTGTCAACATATATGGGGTGTTAATTAACGAGGGCGAGTAGAAAACAAGTCTCAAGTACCAAAGTTTTCCTTTTTTTTCTCCTCTACCCAGGAATTAGTTTTCCCTATGTAAATATATTTAGAAACAAAAAAAAATATTTTTTTTTGAGCTTTACGGTTGTGAATTAATTTACTTTTTGGTTTAATTAAGGTTTATTTTCTTTTTTTTTTTTTTAAATTAATAACTGAAATATATTTTTTGCTTTATTTTCTCCAATGTATTATTATTTTTAATGGGTAATTGTTAATTTAGATTTTTTCTCTTTTCATTCTTTTTTTAAAACTTCCAGGCTGTTATCTGTTTGTAAATAACGTCATCCGTAACGGCAGATGTCGTGGGCCGAGGTGCGAAGGGTTAAATGCCTTTTTATTCTCTTTTTAGAAAAAAAAGAGATTCAAAGGGGGGGAGAAAAAAAAAGAAAAAAAGTTAAGCGTTTTCGATTCTAGTCAATTTCTAACATTTCGTCCCTCGGCCGCTACGCCTCCGCCGTCCCGGTTTCAACGGTCTTCCTCCACCACCGACGCCAGTCGTGTCGTCGTGCTCAATTCGCCGCCAGAAATGGAAAATTAAAAAAAATCAAAAAAATATATTGAACACCCGGCCCTCAGCCGGATAAACTATAGTTAAGGGTCTAGGCAATCGTTATTTTAATTTTGAATAAAAATTAAAAAAAATGAGAAAAAAATCAATCCGTCTTATATAATATACATATTTATATATTTAGAAATTTGTTGTTATATTATAAAACGATAATAATAAATAAAATAATAAAACAAAAATTTTGTATGAACGGTTGTGTCTATATTGTGATGTCTTTTATTACAGTTTGTTTATATTTTGAAGAAAAAAACAAAGTAAATTAAAACAGGGGGGAAAAGTGGAATTATTATTATAATTATTATTAAAAGCAAAAATTGTAATTTAAAAAATTATATATTATGTATATGTACTATTACATATTAAAAATTATTCAATTTAAAATGTATTTTTTTCAATCAGGTGCTGGGTCCGATTTTAACTTATGTTCGGTCTACATTTAGCCATTAAAAAAAGCTCCGACTTTTTTTAAAAAATGTGATACGAAAAACGACAGAAGGACCAGACTAGGATTATTCCTCTACACTGTAGGGTAGGGTAGCATTGCATGGCATCGGGCAGATGTGTTTGGGGGGGAATACAATCTTATGTAAAACTGGATGTTAGATTTGTGTCAGGTGGCCTTGGGTCATATCACATAGTGTCGGGTGTGTTCCCCAGTTAAAGGTGTCAGGATTTTTTTTTTTTTTTTTTTTTTTTTGGAGGGGGGCATGCTGAAAAATCTGTCACATTCATCAGTCTTTTGAGACACTTATTGTGTTCCATCTAAAGTCCACTGTAAGCGACAGTAGTCGAAGATTTACTAATGGGCGTTGTTGGCCGCCACGGTAGTGGCATTGACATACCACTCATCACCATAAGGTAAAGGTTGTGGGTTCAAATACAGCATCACTGTATTCAAAAATACACTAAAACCCTGCCACCCTGAGAGCTATCAGCTATCTCATTCTAAGAAATGATAAAAACCAATTCCATTATGATTGTCAAATGGAAAAGTGCAAATTTTCTGTGAAATGCAGGGGGCAAAACAGGCAAAACATTCAGGCCACCCCTGGCATCACCGCAATGCGCCACCGACCCAGACCCCCTCATCACCACCATCCCAGATACAATTTTGTTTGTCTCAATAGCCTGGTGGTTCTTTTTTCTGTGGTTTATCCTTATCCAGCAGGGGAAATCTACACATGGATAGGCTCAGAATTTCTTCCATAGTCTCCTCCCATCCACCTACCTTATTATCACCTAATCATTATCTTTTCTTATTTTCAATCAACTGATTTTTATTTATTTTTTTTACATATGAGTAAATCTGGTAAAAGAAATCACCTGCTTTTATGTTGTTTTTTGTTTAATTTAATTTAATTTTTTTAAAATATCGTGTTTTGGAAAGAAGTTCCATTTTGCAAAATTTCTCTCACAACTGACCCCCGAACGCGGAAAGGGCAAAATTCGTGGCGGAAAACAACCCTCCATCACCGTCTCCCTCCAAATCATCCCCCTCTTAAGAGAAAAAGGAAAAAAGACGACGAAAGATAAGAATTGAGAAAGGATAAGGGAAAAAAACGATAGAAGGAAAACGTTTCCGGGACGACGCACGCGGCCCCCATAGGCAAATCCGTACCGGCATAGGAGTGACGGTGTGACCAGGCATCCGGTGACACGACTTAGGTGGGCCCTGACAGTTTTTGTCTCTTTATTTTCTAAATTTCTCTTTTTTGTTTATTTTCAACCTCTCCCCCCACCACCAAAGTTCAAACACCACATGAACCATATGTGTATTTGTGCAGAAAAAAAAGAAAAACAAAAATAACACACCTTGAGGTTTTTATTTTTAATAATTAAAAAAATAAATAAAACAACCTGAGGTTAAAATAATAATTTTTTAAAAAAAGAAATAGCCTTTTTTTAATTTTAAACCACTTCCCCTTCCCTCCTTTAAAAAAATCCAAAGTTTCCTGATATAACCCCAACACAAAAAAAAACAAAAAAATAAAATTAAAAAAAAATAAAATAAATAAACATGCCTCCGTACATCAGAGAGAGTTTGAATCGTAAGTTGAACGTTAACATTTACTTTAGAAAAAAGTCACAAATTTTTTTTTTCTTTCAATAAAATAAAAGCGCCGATGAGCAACAAAGACGTTCTGCTCAGGGCAGTAGAGCAGATACAAGAAATGCTGCCTGAAGGCTACCGCATTACGATCGACTTTTACAGGGTCGACGGGGAGGATGAAGAAGGTAAGTTTTTTTTAAACATTTTATTATTAGGACCAACCTGATCTACTTTTAAGGGTTCATCTCGATACCCCTCTGACTGAATAGTTTCACTAGACTGTCTGACAAACTTCACAATTATCTCAATGACAAATACTCGGCTTAAAAATTTACGGGGACCGTTTTGTTTATGCGGCGGGTGGCCTGGGTCAGTCTTCTTCTTCCTGGGCTGGTAACCCTGTCTAAGCTGACATTCGGCGTATATACAAAATACAAAAACTGGAAGAACTTACCCAGAAGGAGATTCCTCTGCCATTTGTTTACCGGCAGGCCAAATAGCTCGTACGAATGTGTACTGCAATCGATGTGGAACCGCATTGGCATAAGAACTCAGTGTACAAAACCGAGCAGTAGTAATAAATTACGGAGTCAATAAAAAGATCCAAATGAACCAAAGCAGATCTTTCCGGTAGCGGATTAAAATTATAACCATATAAAAAGGTTACTATCAGTCCAACCAACCTAGATGGTAAATGACAGACAAAATTGTTGGGCATTTCATGGTATTCAGCAGACCTCTGACCCATGCAACATGCCACCTTAAAATAGAAAATGTCATGTTTAATATGTTCATTAGTGGACTAAACCTGCCCATCGTTGCAGAAGTTGGTGATTTTTCTAAATATTCAACCTGCAAATATCAGGAGGTTATCATTAATGTATACTATGATAGAAAAGAGGTTATAATTCAAGGTTAATTATACCCTTTAACTGCGTATACATTATTCAATTTTGGGATTTTAACGTACATTTTCTAAAGTTTTGTCATTTGTCAGCCGAGCAGGTGGAGTCCGAAGAACCGCCCAAGATCATAAATGCCGACTCGCTCGACGACGCCCAACTTGGCGAGATAGACTTCGAGCTCTGTTCAGCACTCGAACAGCTCTCGGTGATCGAAGACGCCCTTCCGTTCCTGAGGGGGATACAGGAGTCAGGCCAAAGGGACGAGATCATCTGCAAGCTGTTTGGCGACAAGGGCGAGACCGGCGATGAAGGAAGCCAAGAAAACACCGATTGCACCTTAGTTAAGCAATATTAGTATGTACTAGACACTGTCGTCAGAAATAGAAATATATATTTAAAAAAATAATAATAAAAGATTAAACTCAACTTTCTCTTCATTTCAGGGGATCACTGTTTGAAACTATTATATTTATTTTTTTCAACAGTAAAAAGGAAAAAGGAAACAGACGCCAAATTCCAAAAAAATAAAAAATTATTGTCTATTTGTTTTTATTTTGATAATTTCCCATTTTACGATGAATTGTAAGGCTTGAGAATCTACGCTTGAGCGAGTCTACGGAAACGAACGAAAAAAAATTTACGTTCATCGACTCTGTTATTTTTTTCTCCTGCCCTTTAGCGTGATTTAAAGTATTAATGAATATGTTTAATTAAATAAAAGAGATATTTTAAAAATATTTGACTGTATTCTCGGCTGGTATGTGCCGGATGAGCTGGTCGAAGTTGGAGTACAATGTTATGAACGCTTTGTCGCAGACGAGTATGAATTTTTTCCTTGCCCTTGTCACTGCGACTGTGAGCCGGTTCATATCTGCAGTGATATCATCATGCTGTAATAATAATGAAAAATATATTTAAAAAAAGAGAAATTTAAAATAATAAATTTTTTTTTTTAAATTTTACATTGTGATTAGTGTTTTTCGAAGTCGAGTACAAAATGATCTCCTTGTCCCTTCCCTGGTACTGGTCGACTGTGTTCACCTCGACAGCTGGTTCATTCAGCTTCCGCCTTATCAGGTTCACCTGTTCCCTATACGTTGCCACGACTCCGATCTGTGAACTGTCAGCTCCAGATGCAGCAAGCTCGTTTACGATCCGCTCGACGGCCGTCGCCTCCAGTTCATTTGAATTTGTCATCTTCGACTCGGCGTGGATGTCGACAATTACAAAGGAATCTTGGATGTCCCCAGACAGTGCCTTAACTAGCCATGCAGGTGCATCATCTCGCTTTAAAAAAGTATAAAAAACTTCGTTAAAGGTAATTAAAACCTATGAATAACTTACTTCTTAGACTAATATTCCAAACCTAACCTCCTATTAGGAAGTTAACTATAAATAACGTACATATAAGAAAGATAATAATAATTGAATAATAATAATGTTGAATAACCTACTTTTTACACTGATCAATTTCATTATTATACTTTTACAGGTCAATTAAAAAAAAAATAATAATAATAATACACAAATATATTATTTAAGAGTGGATGAGTGATTAAAACATCTCTCGTATTACTACATTAGCCATTCAGGGTTTACCACTTGTCCGGATGCCACTTGTGTATGACAGGCACTAAACACAAAATGACTACTTCCTTAACTAAATAACCTAAAACTTATGATAGTGATAACCAGTAAATAACCTTCTACTTACAATTGGGTAAGCTATTGTTGCTTCAGCGATGTGATCGTTCGCGCATCGGAGTTCGCCTCCGTAAGACAGCCCGTTGGCAATCTCATTGATCTTCCTGTTCATCCTGTACTGTTCCTTGAGAACCGTTGTGACTGCCGGGCAGTCCAGCCTTTGAAAAAGACTTTCCCCGAGTCCTAGAGCCCTTTGAAATCATATTGATAAGGTTAGAAATTACTAGGGATCTAAAATCGTAATTACTTGGCCTGTTCATCAAGGACAAGAGGCGGGAGCTGCTTAGGGTCGCCGACGAGGACGAATTTCTCAGCTAAGAACAACGGCCGAAGAACGGCGGTCTGCGTGACCTGAGTTGCCTCGTCGACTATGCAATAATCAAACCGCTGCCGCTGTAGCCACAAATGGCTTGCGCCATGGCAAGTCACACCAACTACTTGCTATTTAAAACTCATTAAAAGTCTATATTAAAAAAAAAATGTGTTTTTAACTTACGTATGATTGAAAAGCTTTTTCAAGCTTCTCTACGGTGATGCCTTCCATATTTCGTATTAAAGATGACTCACAGTGGTCACGCAATGATGTTTTGATTCGGTGATCTGGCCCGATTCTTAGTACGGGTACAGTGTCGACTAGTCGTTCCAGTATGTTGTCAACAGCAGAATGGGTGTACGCAGTTAAGAGTACACGCTTGCCGAGACTGTGAAGGAGTGTTATAAGCGCCCTAAGCGTAGTTGACTTGCCAGTTCCGGCCATGCCTTTGACGAGGATGTACCTTTCGGCAGCGAGCGCCTGTAGTACAGCACGACACTGCTCCCTGTTCAGCTTCTCGAGGACGCCCTGGCCAAGTTTCTTCACCTTCGAGGTCAGCTTCGGCGCAAATTTTGGTATCTGAAAAAATTATACCTGAGCGAATGAAAATAATAAAACATGACTGCAGCGAGATTGGAAAACCTTTTTCTCTATTATGCTCTCACGCAGGAATTCGGCTGTTGGAGTATTTTCAAGAAACAAACCGATGTTTGAAAGTACAGATGAGAGCAGGGCATTAGATTCATATGCGTCTAACTCGACTTTATCGCCAGGTTTGAAGCACCTACAACAAATATCATGAACATTCAAGTTTCATTATTACGACATAATGTTTTACCTGATACCTTCGGAAAAATCTAGTATAGGATTAATTTTGCATAATAACTTATTACTTTCAATGTAACACACATAACCTACTTTTAAAAATTAAAAGACAACCAGTGAATAACCTACAATGTTAAACTGATGGTTTTAAATATAACTTATTCATTAAACAGGTAACATATGAATAACCTACTTCTTATGGTTATAATCTAGTAACATACCTATCCAGAAGAAGTTGAACGGAACGAGAGTCTGCGCTTTTCACGAAGCCCATTGCAACGACCGCTCTTCCACCCTGGCTTACAGCGACAGTCTGCGCAACTGAGAACGTCTCAGCAGATATAATTGATGAATCTGCTTTGACGAATGACACATTGTACCGTCCGCATGATGATGGCGTGCACGACTCAACCGCCATGCCAGCGAAGCAACGGCCTTTCTCCTCACGCTTTTTCGCCTCCTCCGACCATATACGAGCAGCCGATGACTTCGACGAGCCGTTCTCTAACGTCTGAAGGGCGACAAGGCGGAATACATACTCAAGATGGCATTGTTTCAGGTGGGCCGTCGCCCCAGGGCCGACCTCCCTCAATATATTATCACTCTCGATTTTATTCAAACCGTCTATCCTTCAAAAAAGAAAAAAAAAATCTTTAAGCGGTTTATTAAAAAGCCTTAAAACTATGAAAGAAGGTTATTTTATTGTAAACAGTCAGACAAGGAGGTTATCGATAAATAAAAAAAGTGCAGATTTTATACCTCAAAGCAGAAAAACAGGCGATGAGGTGTCCACAGGACGTGCAGCTCTTCCTGTTGATCGGGTTCGGTAATACGGGAGGACGGGCATTCTGCGCCTTTTCGATTTCGCATATTGACTGTGACAGGCCATTGCGCAGAAGCGTGAGGTCCCTCATTTCCCTCTCGGCCGCTGCTATCTCCTTAATACCGCCACTGTCCCTTTAAAAAGCCGTGGATTAGGAGGAAAACACAATTACAGTATTCGACTCACTTGAGATAGAGGAGTAAGCCCGCATCGACTCGCTCGCCCAAATCACGTAGAAGCATGCAGTAGAGGATGACCTGGCCCCTGTGCTCAAGGCTGAATGACACTTTACCCGTCTTCAACTCAAGAGGCATCAACTGAAAATATTCAATTTACATGTTTCTATAATTACTTATTCTATAGTTAAGTGTCACAAGTAAAGAAAAACTATAACATAACATAAAACACTGTAACATAATATCAAGAATAAAACCTCCTTATTTCATACTTTTTAATATGAAAAACCTATTTATAACCTACCTTATAGTCATATAAATAGTGTTCACCTTCAATATGTTCCTATTGTTCGGCGTGCGTACTCGCACAGTGGCGTCGATCTTCCCTTTTACGCCCAGGGTTGGCGACCATATGTTCTCCTCGATGTCAATCACATCAGCGATCTCACCATTCCAGTTTTCACCATCGACCCTGTTTCAAGGCTATAAGTTTAAAAGTTTTAGCATTATTAATTTCTAAGATCAACTCACCTCGCCCTATTTGGGTGTTTTCCACTGTAGGCCATGTATCTGGTTACAAAGTCGAATATGCTGGGCAAGTACGAGCGGACCCTTTCAACAGTTTTTTCATAGTCCATGCCCTCCATGAACATTTTCACCGTGAATCCTTGGCCTTTCGTCAATTCATCGCAGACTTTTTCTATCTCGTCGCGCATCGTGCATTTTTTCATTAACACCTATGGATTGTTTAAAAATAATAATAATTTTAAAAAAGTTAAAAAATCATGCTTCAACACACCACTTCGAGGAGTTCATGTACGATGCAACCTATGACCATGTGGTCGGGGCCTCGGTCGCCGATTTCGTTAAATAGCCCGCTTAGGACAGTCTTACGAGTGCAGTACAATGACTGTACGATCTGTGTTGTAGATACAAGATGGTCAGGGTTGACGACCAAAAGGCCGCCCCATTCTACGACCCAGCCATCGTCAGTCTTGCACCCTTTCAGGCTTACAACATCGCGTTCTTTTATAGCGTACCCATTCCTTTTTAGAACAAACCATTATATTAGAGATAACAGCACAATTAAATATATATATAAAACCACACCATGGTGTTTTTACGGTGCAGGTACCACAGTTGTTCGGATCTTTGGTCGCTTTAACTTCAATCTTGAGATCGGAATTCGGCAAAACTTCAACTGCCAGAACTTCAAAACGCTGTAACTTTTCCAAATTAAGACTCCTGTAAAAACAAAACAAAAATTAATAATAAAATAATAATAAATTGTTTAAAACAAAAATGCACACCCTTGCCGTTTGAGATCATCGAAGCCAAAGTCGTCGTCGAAGAAAACGGAGCCAAAGTTCTCGACGAACTTCATAGGCGATATGTGCGACTGCACCTTCTTCTCCTTTAGCACAGGCTTTTGTGGAGTGGAAACGCGCTGGCGCTTCAGGGCCGGCGGCGCGCCGGCTTCTATGTTTTCAGTGTCACTCCGCGACTTCACTCTCTGTTCGTTAAGGGTGAAGTAATTTGTCAGCTTCTTCTGCGCTGTTTTCTGAAGGAAAAATAAAGAATCAGAAAAGAAATATTAAACAACCATTTCTTTCAATAATCACTTAACTATTATCAAATGAAATGCATTTTAAACAAAACAATATATTATTGTTGATGATTCTTTAACGTCATTAGACAAAGAATCATTCAATAAATAAGATTACTGACTTGTTCACTAGTTCAGTTAGAAAGTTGAATAAATCATCAGTCATTGTCTTGTTCACTCTGTCGAAAAGTTGTTCATTACTTCAGTTAGAAAATTGAATAGTCATCAGTCATTGACTTGTTCACATAAATCAGTCATTTACTGATACTTTCAATATATCAGTAAAAAAAGACGTCCGTTCATTATTTCAACAAATCATCAGTCAATGACTCGTTCACTTCGTCAAAAAGTCGTTCGTTAGTTCAGTAAATAAGTAATTTTTTCTCTCTATTAGTTAAGTAGTCGTTCATTAATTCAATAAATTAGTCACTCTTTCACTCCGTTTGACAAAGTCTTTTAGTAAATTAATCACTGACTAGTTGAATACTTCAATAAATCAGTCATTTATTGATACTGATTTCACAGTATCAGTAAAAAAAGACGTTCGTTCATTATTTGAATAAATCATCAGTCAATGACTCGTTCAGTCAAAGAGCCGCTCATTAATCAACGGTCACTCACTTGTACTTCTCATCAGTCTATAAGTCGTTCGCTCAATTAACGAGTCGTTCTTTTACTTAATGGATCGTTCAGTTAGTGAGTCGTCTAAGACTAGTTATTCAAAAACTAGACTATTTACCGGATTATTCGTTCAGTCATTGAATATTTCTCTAGCCGGCCACTTATTAAACTAATCACTCAATGACTCGTTCAGTCAGCTATTTATTCAATATATCGTTCGGTGTATCGAACCACGTTACGGGAAATAAATCAAAAAATGATAAACGATAGATTTAAAAAAACTATAAAAATAAACTAATTTTAAAAGAAAAATCAAACAAAACCTCGTTTTATTTTTTAGGCACACAGTTTTGCGTTGTCTCTTAGGGAACCCCTTCTTTATCACTACAATTCTTTTTCCTCTTACCTTCATGACGACGTCGGCCTTTTTCTAGTTAAAAATTATTACATTTTATCACACATTTTATTTTAGGAAAAAAAAAAACTACAAAAACAGAATAGAAAAACCCGTCTAACGTGAAGTCGCCGGTCGATAAGCTAGACCAGAACCGCCAAGTTTCGAAGAGGTTCACGTGTGGTTATAAAACACCGCCAAGTATGCCCACAAAACGAGTTAACTCAGAAAAATTTATCATTAACTAAAATAATTAATTGTGATGAAAAGTAATCACACTTTTTTAAACATAATAATTATATTGTTTTAACTGATGAAATAAGCAATTTCATCGTTTGACCCATGGACTAGTCAGGTTTTGACAGGTTATCTTTTACGAGGGAATAAAAGCATTAGATAAGATTCAAAACTCTGTTCAATGGCTCCGTCCCGACTATCGCTGTCTGCTCGCCTACGAAAGCGAACATAATAGGCGAGCACATCGCCTATGTTGACGGGATGGTCCAGTCCCTGGTGAGTCGTGGGTTCATAATGAGTAAACAATTTAAAAAAAGAAAAACTAATTTAATCATCAAGAATCAGTCGGTCGTTCGTTCCTCTAACAAGTTACTCAACCTTTCACTACAATAATTCCTCCTTTTTGTCTGAATCGTTCATTTACTAGGTCGTTCTCTTAGTCAGTAACAGAATCGTTCAGTTCATTGAATCGTTCGTTGCTTCAATTGACCGTTCACTAATCGTACCGTGCTGTCTTTGAATAGTTCGTGCAGTCTAAAACTAGGTAGAGTCATGAATTTCCATGCAAAATAATTCGGTTTACGGCCAAGTTTTAAAAATTCGCGTTGGTCAAAGAAAAAAATCCCCATTTATACGTAACGTACACATGTTTTCCTTCAACAGCTGTAACGTCGTTACAAAAGTGTTGCCAAATTTCCCCTGAAAATTTTGTATTCACTCTTTTCTTAGTTTGCCAGATATTAGTTTGTTTTTGTCCCCGCACTTGTCACAATTTTAGTCATCCGACTCGCCGAAGATGGGCATGTCCGAGGAAGTGGAGGGCCTGCTCGCGACGGCCATAGAAACGTACAAAACTCTGTTCAATGGCTCCGTCCCGACTATCGCTGTCTGCTCGCCTACGAAAGCGAACATAATAGGCGAGCACATCGCCTATGTTGACGGGATGGTCCTGTCCCTGGTGAGTCGTGGGTTCATAATTAAATAAATCAGCAAGAAAATGTCGTACGATCGGCCCATTATGAAATAAATGAATCGTTCTTTCCAAAAGTGATAAAACCGTTTGGTCGGACGGACGTACAGAATTATTCAGCGAGTCGAACTTAAAATCTTCAATTTCAGAACCGTTCATTCACTTACTCCCTGAACAGTTCATTTGGTCGGTCGTTCAATCATTTAATTGCTGAGCTGTTCGTTTATTCATTCACTCACTTCCTGAACAGTTCATTTGGGGTCGTTCAATCATTCAAGTACTGAGACGTTCGGTAAACGTCCAATCATTCGCTCACTTACTGAACCGTTCAACCATTCTCTTGAAACGTTCTATGACGGTCGTCTAACCATACGCTTCTTAAATTTGGTTCAATGAGTCGATCCTCCAATCGTTATCTTACTGAACCGTTCAGTGAGTAGGTCGACCAATCATTTCCCTACAGAAACGTTCAGCGAGTCGCTCGTCCAATCATTCACTCACTTGATGAACCGTTAAATGAGCAAATCATTTCAATTAAGTTCATTCATTTCCCTACGGAAACGGACGGTCGTCCAATCATTCACTCACCCAACCGTTCAGCGAGTCGCTCGTCCAATCATTCACTCACTTGATGAACCGTTCAGTGAGTCGCTCGTCCAGTCGTTCATTCACCTACTGAACCGTTCAGTGAGTCTTACTGAACATTCAATGAGCAGGTCATTCAATCATTTGCCTACAGAACCGTTCGGTAAGCCGGTCGTCCAATCATTCACTCACTTATTCAGTAAGTCGCTCGTCGAATCGTTCATTTACCTACTGACTGTTCAGTGAGCAGGTCATTCAATCATTTGCCTACAAAAACGTTCGGTAAGCCGATCGTCCAATTATACATTCACATACGGAACCGTTCAGTGAGTCTCTCGTCCAATCATTCACTCACTTACTGAACCGTTCAGTGAGTCGCTCATTCAATCACCTACTGAACCGTTCAGTGAATCGCTCGTTCAATCACCTACTGAACCGTTCAGTGAATCTTACTGAGCCATTCAATGAGCAGGTCGTTCAATCATTTGCCTACTGAAACGTTCGGTAAGCCGGTCATCCAATCATTCACTCACCGAATCTTTCAGTGAGTCGGTCGACAAATTATCCACTTACTGAATCGTTCACTGAGTCAACATACTGATTCATTCATCACCGAACAATTAACTGATTGAGATAATTCTTCTTTAGCTTACGAAACGACATCCAATACCTCCTCAATCATCTCGTATCTACACAGGAACTGTTTAAGCTAATTTCTTAGGGTGGGCACCTTTCATCTCCCCCCCCCCCAATAAAAACCGTTTATACTGCCGTTTTCCTTCAGAGCATACCACTCTACATAATCGCCGTCGGGGCCAGGAACGACCTGAACACGATCCGTATCCACACGGACAACAAGGAAATCGAGGAAAGTCAGCGTTACATCGAATTCCCCATCCCCAGCATCGAGCCGCTGGCCCAGGGCGGCCCTTCGTGGAGCAACTACGTCAAAGGGACGATTGAGCTGTTCAAGGGCTACATTCTCGAGGGTTTCGACATGGTCATTGTCTCTAGGATACCCCTCAAAGTCGGCCTGGGAAGCAGCAGTGCCTTTTGCATCGCCGTTTACAGTTTCCTCGAGGCGTTCACCAAAGAGGTCACAGTCAAGTACGGGCCTTTTTTTTACTTTTTTATTTTATTTTTTCACTTCTTTGTTCTTTCTGCCAGCCTGAGGGACAAGGCGTACAGGTGCATGAGGGCCGAGGAGAAGTTCAACCCGGACAAGAAGACGTCCGGAATCATGGACATTTACATATTGCTCTGCTCGAAGGAGAACTACGCCATAAGCCTCGATTGCAGGTACTTAAAACGCGCTTTTTTTTTTTCAATTTGCTAGTTCGGATATTTTGAAAAAGAGGTTTTCCGATTGAACCAGGGACATGCGCTACAAGTACATACCGTTCAACGTCAAAGACGTCTCCGTGCTGATCATTAACTCAAACAAGCAGAGCATGTTCACCGACAAGGACATGGAGTCGAGGAAGCAGCTCTGTCATGACGCGGCCAAGATAATGGGACTCACGTCGATACGAGAAGCGAAGACAGCGCATTTCAAAGGTATCTATCTAGTGGCTGATAGATTCATTGATCCGCAAAGTAAATGGTTAATAGATTCATTGACTGAGTGAACGATTCATTTATTGACAGAGTGAACGATTCATTTATTGACAGAGTGAACGATTCATTTATTGACAGAGTGAACGATTCATGGATTGATGGAGTGAACGATATGTTTATTGATATAGTGTACTATTCATGGACCTAAGTAAACAATTCAATGGTCCATTGAGTGAACGATTCATTGTTTGAACTATCCATTGATTGAACTAAAATGAACCAACGATTATTTTTATTGGTTGAATGAAATATTATTGACATAGTGAACTGTTCATGTAGATGAGTAATTCAATGATCCACTGAGTGAACGATTCATTGATTCATAAATTGAACTGTTCATTGGTTGATCTGAGTGTACAATTATTTATATTGATTGAGTGAACAGTTCATTTATTGATATGAACGATTCATTTATTGACAGAGTGAACGATCGTTGCTGAGGGAACGGTCCATGTATCTGCCAAATGTGTGATCCTTTTAACTTAGTGAACTATTCAAGGATTGATAAAGTGAACGATATGTTTATTGATATAGTATACTATTCGTAGACCTTAGTAAACAATTCAATGATCTATTAAGTGAACGATCGTTGCGCTGAGGGAACGATCCATAAATTTACCAAATGTGCGTTTATGGTTGACCTGAGTGGACAATTATTTATATTGATTGAGTGAACGATTCTGTGGTCTGAATGAACAATTCACCATGCAAGTTTCTAACGTTTACTGTATGATTTAGTGATCTACTAAGTGAAAGTTTCATGGATTGAATTGAGTGAAAGATTAAACGAGTGTTTGATTAAGTGAACGAATCATTGAGCTGGTTGAATGACTTATTTTTCGGCTGTCCCTGATATTATGTCTGTGCGTGTGTGTTTAGCTTTCAAGACACCACTTCTCGAGGACAAAGAGCGCGACATGCGTGCCAGGCACGCACATTCTGAGATCAAGCGGGTCGAGCGTGCTGTGCAGGCAATGCTGGCAAATGACTTCAAACTCCTGGGCCGGCTCATGAACCAGAGCCAGACTTCGCTCAAGTCCGTAAAAGCTGAATCGTAGAGCGTAGGTGTTCGGGGGGAAGAGGAGTAATCGACCGGCTTAATTGACAGGTATGATTGCGAAGTGACGATACCCGAGATTGACGAGCTGATCGACATCGTCCTGGAGATCAACGGTGTCTATGGGACCAAGATGTTCGGACCTGGTCTCGGTGGGTGCATCATAGTACTGGTAAGACTATTTAAATTTGGGAAAAACGGACGGAATTTAATTCTATACAATTTTTGTAGCTTAAATCTTCAGCCGTGGATGAGGTGGTGGTCGCGACGAAGAGAAAATTCTCCGGCAAGGCGGAGTTCTACCTGGCCGAGCCAGCCGAAAGGGTGCATGACATCAGCTACATGATCTTCAACCTGTAAGTTCATTTTGTAAAATACAAAAAGAACTTTTTTGATAAAAAAAGTAAATTCTCAGGGAAAGGCGGGCATTGACGATAATCGGCAGCATATCCACCCAGCTCGAGTACGCCGTTGAATTCTTCCTTGCGAGGTACAACAGATACCCGGACACTGCGGTACAGGCACCGGGCAGGGTCACAATACTCGGCGAGCACACATGCACGCACAGTGGTTTCATGCTGCAAATGGTAAGGAGGGAAAAAAGGCAGAATTATTTTAAAAAATTCCCTCAATGATTATCCATTGTGACCACTTTCAGGCGATACCCTTATCGACTATCATAGTCGGCAAGCGGAACTGCACCAACTTCCTAAACATATATGTCGACGAGGACTTTGCAGGTGGGGGCGGGGGTGATTTCCTCTGTGTCACGCTACCTGTCGTAGTCGACTTCCGGAAGAGCAAGTCCCATTGGACCAACATGATATACGGCACTCTGTTGAAGTTTCAAGGTCTGTCGTGGATCAAATTATTCATGAGTTCACTGCAGTGAAGTCCTAAAAATACGATTTTCTGTCTAAATTTACAGTTTAAAAAGCTGACTTATATAAATATTGTTGGTTGATGAGTAGGCCATAATGTGCCTAAATGGGATTTGAAGTGAAAAGTTTATTTACAGTAGGTTAAAATTTGCATTTTCAAATAGAACCCAGGTAAATTATGCACAAGTTTCTAGTCGAGAAAGTAGGGCTTAGTATGTAAGGGTTACAGTGTTGAAAAGTAGGTAGATGAACAGTAGTATCAGTCAGCCACTGACTCATTCAGTCAAAGATTCGTTTGCTAGTCCAATAAATCAGTCAGTCACTGACTCATTCACTCTATTCTATAAATTTTTCTGATTATATATCAATGTAAGATACACGTTTCGATTTAAATGTAATAACTTTTACCTTTATTTAAATTTAAATTTAGGCGAGTTGAAAGAGGGCTTTGATTTGGTGCTTGTGAGCACGATCCCAGACGCGTCCGGCCTTGGACGCGACAGCTCAGTCATTGTCGCCTTCTACACTTTCCTCGAAGCAGTGACAAAACAGCAGACACCTAAGTGAGTTGAATCAAGTGTATGACATTTAATTTTTTTTAACTTATATTCAACCTAGGTGGACGATGAAAGCGCGCCAGTGCTATTTGGCCGAGCACGAATACACTGAGAACGAGTGCTCATACGCCGACTACCTAACAATAATAGCAGCTGAGGAGGATTACCTCACCTACATCGATTGCATGTGTGTTGCTCAAAGGGCTTCCTTTAAATTAATAAAAAATCCTAATCTTCTTCTTCCCTATGCATTCTGAAGGACGGAAGAAATTGAAATGATACCTTTCAAAAAGGAGGAGTACCTTTTCCTCCTGACGACCCTCCCAGAGGAGAAGATCATGCCTGACGACAAGTATCCAGACCGGCAGACTGAGTGTGAAGAGCTGGTCATTGTACTTGGAATTCAGTCACTGAGAGAGGCAAACGTCGAAATGCTAGACGGTGGGTGTAAAAAAACTAGTCCTCTTACTCATCGAGAATGAATCTGATTTGTGTAAAATAGTAAATTACTTGATAAAAGTCTTGCCATAAAAAGTATCATGAAAATTGTGCATAGATTATAAACCATTCAAAGTAAGCTATGCATAATCACCAATTCAATAAATCAGTCATTGAGCCATTCTCTAGTTCAGTAAACAAGTCAATAAGTGACCTCTTCAATCTGTCAAAGATTCGTTCACTAATTCAATAAATCACTCATTCACTAGTTCAGTAAACTCAGTGACTGATTTAGTGAACGAATCTTTGACTGACAGAGTGAAAGAGAGTCACTGATTGACTTGTTTACTGAATTAGTGAATGACTCAATAACTGATTTATTGAACGAGTGTCACTGGTTTGTTTACTGAACTAGTGAATGAGTGATTTATTGAATTAGTGAACGAATCTTTGACAGATTGAAGAGGTCATTTATTGACTTGTTTACTGAATTTACTAAATCAGTCATTGAGCCATTCTCTAGTTCAGTAAACAAGTCAATAAGTGACCTCTTCATTCTGTCAAAGATTCGTTCACTAATTCAATAAATCACTCATTCACTAGTTCAGTAAACAAATCAGTGACACTCGTTCACTAATTCAATAAACCAGTTATTGAGTCATTCACTAATTCAGTAAACAAGTCAATCAGTGACACTCTTTCACTCTGTCAGTCAAAGATTCGTTCACTAAATCAGTCACTAAGTCAGTAAGCAAGTCAATCAGTGACTCTCTCAGTCAAACATTTGTTCACTAATTCAATAAATCACTCATTCGCTAGTTCATTCGGTCCTTTACCTAACGAATCGTTCAGTTACTGATTAGTTCACTCTGACAATGTTAAATATGTTTAAAAATAAAATTACACAAAAGAAAAATGAGCTTTGACATGACTATCTTTTCATTATTAATTTTTTTTTCCCAGAGAAACAGGACTGCATGAGCTTTGGGATGTACAAAAGAGGCAACTACGTCATACAGGAGATGATGAGGACATATGAGGCGATGAAGTCTTTAAACAGGAAGGATTACGACTCGCTTGGCGCTATCATGCTCCAATCTCACAACTCTTTGAGGTTGCGATTTATAAATATCAACTGGATAAAATGTATACATATTAAAGAAACTATTTTCAGATACCATTACGAACATGTGAGCGCCTCGCTCAACCAGATTGTCGCCCTGACGATGAAATGCCCTGGCGTGCTAGGCACGAAGATAACATCCTCGGAACAAAGCCGGTGCACCCTGACGTTGGTAAAAAAAAAAAAATTAAATACAAAAGAAAAAAATTGAAATATCTTTCAATTAATTATTATATTTTACCTAAGGCTGGGGTGAAAAAGTCAGTGTCACTGTTATTTTAACTACAATTTTAAGTGGTTAGAGCAATGGTGTATTGAGCTGAAGGTCGTGGGTTCAAATCCTACTTGTTACACTATCTTTTTCATCTCAACCAAAGCCTGAGATAAAAAATAATTATTAACTGAAAGAAATTTCAATTTTTTTTCTTTTAAAATTAATACCGTCAATTATGACTGCTAAATGTATATGGATTATTAAAATTGAAATAAAATATTTGACCAGGTGAGAAAGAAGTGCCTGGAAAGCGTTATTGACCGTGTGTACTGCGGATACAAGCAAAGGACACTTTTTTACACTCTAGAACCAAAAGATGGCACAAGGAATATAACAGAGGTGAAGCTTATTTTTCAGACCTAGAAGCTTGTACTTTCCGATCTTTTTATTATTTCTGACTTGCTATATTTTAAGTCGCTGAACCTGGAGCTGAGGAGACGACGCGAGGACATTGACATTGTAAGCGAGCACTTATCCGTCCACTCGGTTGCCTCGTCCGACCTCAACGCCCTGTCCTGGTCGATGTTCGACCTAGGCGAGGAATGGGCTGACTGGTCTGCTCAGAGGAAGAAACAGCCCAAGGAGGGCTCGGAACACGACTCCGTCCAGGAGACGGCGAAAGACGAAGAAATGGAGTTTGGTATGACGACCGGAGGGTTTGGTATGGATGATGAGGATGATATATAAAACCCAGCGATGATGGCAAACCAGAGAAGATAAAAAATGCCAATAAATTAACACATGTAAACAAATAACTGTTCATTTTCGACATAATTCTAATTATGTACGAAGTTAAATTGAATAATGGGGGTGCGGTTCGTGGGTTCAAATCCCATTCATGACACTTATTTTTCATCTCGACTACACTTAACCTATAAAATTTAGATGTCCACATCCCGGGACAAAATGCATCCTGAGCTCCACTCCTCCAGCCAATGGCTGCCCAGCCAGGTATATCCACTCCGCTATCTTGCAAGAAATCAAAAAGGAGCCTGTATACAACACCATTGCCTGCCAGCAAGGTTTCATAACTAAAAGGCACTTCTCTCTGCTGGAAGATCCGTTTGAAAAGGTTCTCTCTTTTTGTCTCAAATTCAGGACAGAAAAAGCTGTCCTGCTTTCCAGCATCTGCTTTTGAGATTTATAAGTGTACGAAGTTTGAAAACTATGTATTATCATCACTGTTATCAATATGAAAACACTTGATGATGAACAAGAATCTATTCCCTCACATACATTCTGATGCCAATATATTTTTCGTGTCAGGCTTCATGTTCCAGTAACATTTTTCCCCCTGGACATTACACATTGAGCTTTAATTTCCTCTGCAGAAACCTTGATATTAGTTTCATTAATCTGTATTTGTTTAGAGGTCATAATTGACCATATTAATTATGTAATCATTATTTTTATCTAATGTTTTTGATTGAGATGAAAGTCAGCAACACAAGCGGAATTTGAACCCACTTTGGCTTAATACGCCACTGCTCTAACCGCTTGAGCTAACATGACTTCGAATCCACTCGGACACCAACTCCCTATCTCAACCTACGACTGTTCAAATTTTCTCCGTATTTTGAAAATAAGGCAAAAAGAGTAAAATTCGAAAGGTTATAGATTGAGATGAGGAGTTGGTATCTGAGTGGATCGAAGTCATGATAGCTCAAGTGGTTAGAGCAGCGGTGTATTGAACCAAAGTGGGTTCAAATCCTGCTTGTGTCGCCTTTTTCATCTCGACCAAAAACCTTAGATAAAAAGAATAATTACTTGGATTAGTTTTATTTTTTCAACAGGGCATATTACTTAGTTTGTTTAAAAAAGGTTATTTACTTCTTTATCGATGAAAAGCTGAAAGAGCCCAACATCAGACATGTTTTTATTTTTTTTAATGGGATCAAATAGATCTCCATCTATCCAAACCCGCTCCTCTCTATTTTCAGAATATCCAGAAAAATTGTATTTTGAGGGGCCAATATGTACATTATTAGGCAAAACTGCTTCTGCACCACTCACCGACTGATTGTGATCGAATTATTTATGAAACCTCCGCTGTCCTCATCTCCACCATCTTCATCAGTTAGTTCGTCAACAAGTGGTGGTGTGATGAAAACGCATTTTCATCCTCCCAATGGTCATCATCATTTCCGAGTTAAGCCGTCTTTCAGAATCACACTTCCTGGAGAAAGAAAGAACCAATGAAACTTTGGCTTTGAAGATTACAGTGAGCAGGGATTTAAAAAAAAAAAAACGTACGGCTGATTAAATCATTCTTGTTACTTCTGAAACTCTTTTTGTTTTGATGATGCAATCAAATTGATGAGAAATATTCCATGTATACCGGTGATCAGGATACATTGAAAAATATCAACACTTTTCACAAATTGAAATAAAATAGAAAGAGACCTTTTCACAGTGAAAGGTGGATATGAACCGTTAAACCAACCCTCCCAGTACAGGGAAATGTGTAAGGAAACGTCAACCTGCAATGACATGATCTTGAACCACCGTATTCGGCGCATCGTCCTTGGTTGGATAATATCGCCCAATTGGCATGGGTTCATGAACAACCTTATATTCACAACAAACAAGATTATATTCTACGATTCCTTGCACATTGAGGATGTGGGCTCTCATTGAAGGAACAATAAAAAAAAAAATTAAAAAAAGAAAAAAAAAAAAAAAAAAGCCATTACAGTTAAGGCATTGACACAGCACTCATTACTGTAAATTAAGGTAAAGGTCAGGGGGCCTTTTTTTTTTTTTTTTTCAAAAACACCAGCACCTTAAGGGTTGATCTCTACACTTGAAAACCCTCGTGGGAGAAAAATGTAATAATAAAAATTATCTTAACTATGATGTAAAATTTTTCCTTTGGCTCAAAGACAACTTAACTAGAAATTTAAAAATTTAACAATTATGTATTTAATTTCATACAAATAGACTTTATATTAAAAGTTTGTTTTTTTAAACTCAAAAATATAATATATAATAATAAATAAACAATTGAAACCATTCAATTGAGGAGATCATTGTAAAAATGCTAACTGGGATGAAGGCGGAACCCTATAAGATTGTCGCGGTCCAAGATGCGGTCTGCCGGCGGACCTAAAACAGACAATCGACAGTGTACGGTTGGATGGTGTAACAAAATGCATTTTACAACATAATTTTCACAAGGGTTCGGGCGTAAAAATTAAAAATTACACACTCAGAGTTCCTGTTTTAATGTCGTGAATAAACAATCTTGGCGCATGAGCTGGCAACAGGTTCAGGGTCTTCTTAAGCACACTCGCATTCTTTCTAGCAGGACGCCAAGGTCTGTCATTGGCCGTCGGCGCTATCTCAAGGTCGCTGTAGCCTTGAAGGTATACGATGCCGTCTGTTGGGTTCCATATATACAGGCACGATGTCTCGTAAAAATTGTGCAAGTCTGCTTTATTCCTTAAATTCATAAAATAAAATGAAAATTGATGTTTCATTTATGTGGTATAACACGGTATGCACCTTTTTGAAGTGATTGGAAAATAATCTACGTTGAGCCGAATAAAAAGCAGAGCGAATACTTCGCCCGTGGCCTGGCACACTTTGACAATTTCATTCCTGTAGTCGCTGTAGAACCAAAATTTACAACCTTCCATCTTGCAAATCGCTGTGGCAGCTTTGAATGCGAGTTGCTCAGCGTCAAGGCTGTTCTGGCGGACCAGGACCAAAGGGCTTGGCTATAAATAAAATAAAGGCCGAGAATTTAGTTTTGGCCAAAATCATGGATATTAATTCATACCAGACTATTGACGTGGTCAGATATCATCGTCATACGCCTCGATCCATGGGCCGATATAGGGAGAGTACAATGAGCATCTGGCTCATCACCTGCTGACATTTCCTATTTTAAAAAACTTAACACAGTAATGTGACTCACCTTCTATTTGTGATGAAGAATCGTGATCAGCAAACCTCCTGTCGAGTACAACAGTGCATCCGCTGACGGGCTGGTGTCCCAAGCCTGTCTTGTTCTCCATGATCATTTCACCTACGGGATTTCAAATTATAACATGGTTCAAGGCCGTTATTGATTTGAGACACCTGTGAGTTCGGCTTCGTTGGATGGGTGGTTGTGTCTTGTGGTGCGACGGTTCGACTTCCTCCTGCTGAAGGCGCCCTTGCCGAGACCAGACAGGAAAAGGGACACGACTTTGGTGCGCTTCTTCACATTTTCTTCCTTCTTTCGGGAAGGGACAGACGTTGGTATTGCCGATGGCTTGCCTTCATCATCCTCAAGCAACTTCACAAAATCGAACTTCTGTAATATAATATTTATATTTTTTAAGATCCACTAATTCCCCCTGTTTACAATTTACATCTTTTTTGTTCGATGACGAATACGTTCGTTTCACCTTATGATTATATAAGGTGAAAAATTTACGTTTTGGGTTATTGGCGTCCAACAGCGTCACAGCAAGTTGTCCACAAGACAAACCTTTATCCGTGCTAAATTTACATTTCTATGAAAACATAATTGTTTAAATAGGTTTTTATTATTTTTATTTTAATGCATATTTAGTTTACCATATCACTGCGCCTTAAGAGATGTCTCTCAAGGGCATATTGCAGGTAAACATTCAACTGGCTTTTGTCAGTATGGAGGCCCTGTAAAAATAATACTTGTATGAGAATACTCAGTAAAATAAATATACATTACCCGACGGAGTTTTTTGATGAGGAGCTGTATCATGTTGCAATCCCAGTTGTCACTCATGAAAATGGAATATTTGTGCCGTCTCAAAAAGGAAAACGTGAGCCTGTAAGGGTGAGATGTCAATCTGTGTTTATTAACGTCTGTTAAGAGTATATTTTACCTGTTTTCAAAAGCAGTCGAGCTGTCATGAGTAGATGTTTCGAGGCCGTTTTCCACTCTCATCGAAAGGACGTGGAGGAAGGAGCCTGTGTTGAAGACAATCCTGCCGTCTGAAGCGAGGCACGTCTCCGGATCGAAAGTGTAGAAATGAGGGGCGGAGAAGTAGGTGTGAATCGTGAGCCCGTGGTTGAAACAAGTCGGGCCGACACTCACATCCCCATCCGCCATCATCTCTATAGAAAAGAGAAAAAAAACCTTTTACACAATTTTATTACATAATAAAAGTCTCCTACCTTCTTCGCTGAATGTGGAGGCTACTGGTTTGCATTTGTCACAGCCTTGCAGCGATGGGAGTGTCGTCAGTGTGATATAAGTTGAGCTTTTAAACTCAACATCGCTTCTCAAATCATGAACACTGTTCGACCTAGAAAACAAAAAAGCTTTACATATAAAAAATATTATCTTAATTTCGAACTAAAAAACAATTACTCTTGATAACTTCCAAACACTAAGACCCTTGTGTTGTCATGAGGCCATTGGGCGATGCCTATCGTTAGCATTTCCTCGACTTGAGCACCATCAAAAAGCTGCACCTCGCCTATCATGTCCGAAAGCTGTCCCGGTCGGAAAAGCCAGAAGTGGAGGGTGTAGCTGTACACGGAAGATGAAGAGAAAAACGAGCTGTACACCCTGAATGAATAAGTGAGGAGGATCTGCCCGCATCGTGTCACTCCGATGAGTATATGTCTGGAAAGTCGGACAGTTTGCTATCGGTTTGGATTTAACATCATTGTACTACTTACTTTCCTGCATCCGGTATGGTGTCGCACAGGCCAAATATAAGATGATTGGGCACTTTTGAAAATAACTGCTTTGTCGGCTCATGGTGAATGGATACGCCATGAATAAATTGGCCAAATACCTGCATTAAAAACTTTATTATTATGCATATAAAGTATTATGTACATACATTACACATATAAGCATGATTTCATTTTAATCAAAATTCCACTTTCATCGATATTCTATCCATTTTAGAGAAGAGTACTGTGAGTAAAATATATCATATAAAGCAACTTACTTATAAAAGGGCAAGGATATAATCTGGATATAACTTTACCTTTTTTACAAGTACATATCTAGGTATTCCGCAACGAAAAGGCCAATGAGACAACCTCCAGACTTAACCACTACAATCCGAGCCCCTGATGCTAAAAACGCAATGAAAACAATTAAAAGAAAATGGCAGGGTCGGTGGGCCAGCAGAGAAAGACTCACGTAAAGAACAGTGGCTCTCAGAGTACCTGACTTGTAAAAAGAGGGTCATCCTCACCCATGAGGTTGACACTTAATTGGAAGGTGCAATTCCTTGGCTCCATATAGAGAACACATATGCCATCCGATATGAGACTTGTGCTTGAGCACATTATCGAGTATCAGGGTTCCCTATGGAACCGTTGGAGAAAACATTGTTTTTTTACTGTATGTAATAGTGATAGTTTTGTGCCTCCCCTAGTGTGTGTTAAGTGTGAATGTATTTATTAGAGTGAATGTGTAGTGTGAGAGCATAAATGACGGAATACTGAGTATCCCTTCGACCCTTAATTAGGTTAGTTGCATCACATGTAATGAGGGTGCTGGAATATTGAGTATTCCACCACCTTAATTGAATGTACAGTATGTAAATAGGGCATCTATTTAAGAATGAATGTGAGTGTGAATGGGTTTGGATATAGGAACTTAACTGCATGCGTTAGATGCTGAATTGACCTAGATCGACAATCCCTAAAGGTCTCTTCGTGAAGAATGGGCTAACCTCCAGCAGAGATTTCCAGATTGGTAGAAAGTATGCCGAGGCGTCTTTGAGATGTAATTAAGGAAAGAGGAGGAAATACGCCATATTGAAATGTTAATTAAAACTATATTTTTTTATTGTATATATTCTGTAGTATGAATGTCAGTGTAAGGTTATAACCTGGATATAACCTTTCCATTTTTCGCAAATATATCATGTAAAGCAATTCGTGTTTTTTTTAACGAGGGTTCGCAACTGCAGAGGTCATATAAAACCCTCTGGGTGCCGGTGTTTTTGAAAAAAAGCCCATTTGTAAGTATGTCAGGTTCGAATGCAGGGCCGTTGGATTCGAACCCGGCACCTTTACCTTACAATGATGAGCGCCGTGTCAACACCTAAACCGTTGCGGCCACCGACGCCCCCAATTCGTGCTATTAATTCACTTATTTATTTTGATAGCTTTTATTTTAATTGAACTAAATATGGGGGAATATTATTAGGAATATTCTGTTACGTGAATTCTCATAAAGTGCAGGGTAAATGATTTTTTTTTAACCTTTGTTTTCTCTTATTATTGTGAAAAGGATTGAAATCTGGCAAGTTGGTCTATTCTAATTTTTTATTATGAATAATTTATGAAATGCAAGATTATAAACGGGATGAATAACTTGGATATAACCTTACTATTTTAACGAATACACAATATGGAGCAATTCCTTTCATAAATTATTTTATTAACTTTGATAAGTGATATTAGAAGTTCACGCACAATTATAAATAATAGGGTAGTAGTTATTGACCGTACATTATACAAATTTATGTAAATTATTCTAATAAATCTATTGACTATGTATTGACATAAATAATTTAATTTAAAATGTGATTGGAAATTTCAACAGACCTCTCTGTTGTACAGTTTCCGAAGGAGATTTCCCTTGGAGTATCTCTTCGATTTGTATTCTGCCAAAGCAGAAACGCGGAGCGATCCTTCCATTATGTCAAAACGAGTTTTATTTCAGATTCACTACGTTTTTTTATTTATTACAATTTGCTTTTTTTTTTACCCGGCTGTCTTCCTTTTTTGTGACCGTCGCGGACTAGGGACGGAAGCCAACGGATAAATGAAGGAAAAAGGAAATGGAATGGCGGTTGACTCCCGTCACAGGCCGAGCAGTGTTGCCAACTTAAATCGACTAACATTCATCCAGTAAACTTCGGAGGGGGGCCAAGCAATTTATTCTTATAAAAAATCTGTTATAATTAATTTTCATTAATGCTGGACATAATCGCCCAAAATCAAGGTCCAGGATCATTATTTTAGAAAATAATAATAATAAAAAAACCACCGTTGATTTGTTTATTTATTATCGTTATATAATTACAGTCATCGTTATTACAGGGGAAAAAAATTCAACAATCCTTTCTTTTTTTTTCCACCAAGGGAAAACAAAAATTTTGTTTTCTACAAAATAAAAATTATATAATATTTATATAAAGAAACTCATGATAAATAAGCACACATCACAAAAAAATCTAACAAGGAGTGGGTAGTACATTGGGACATTTCAAGACACAAGAGATAGAGAGAGAAAAAAATAATAATATATAATATACAAAACTAATTTATCACAGAAACAGAATTCACTTCGATTAATTAATTCAATAATTTAAAAAAAATTGAGAAAAGAAAAGACTTTTCAATCGCATATCACAATTTTTACAAAGGGGGGAGGACTGTGTGGGGAGGGGTGATTACATGGATGGGTGTTTGACATGGGAAATGGGGTAGGCCGTACAGTCGATTTTTCATGCGAGGCTTGCTCCCCGTATTTTTTTAAATTTTTTATGGTAATACAAAAAACGTTCGTTAAAATTCAATGGTCATAATGATTAAAAATATTTAAAAAAAAAGAGATAAACGTCTTATTTAAAAAATTCTCACACAAAGAACACACACAATATGGGAGGAGTGGTTTTTTTTTCCTTTTCTGAGGTTTAAATATTTTTAAAAGGATTGCTTTATTGGAAGGGATGGGGATAAAACTTTAAGACTTTACAAAGAGAGAAAACAAAGTTGAACGGACACTGTTTGTCCGTCTGGTGAGCAATCGTATCGACCTGGCCAAGGGGGCAGTCAATGGTTTGAGTCCATAGGCATCCGACGGAACCCAATCAGGTTCTCGTGATCGAGGATGAGGTTCATTGGCAGAACTGAAACAAATGCAGCAAGTTGAAAATTTGAAGGTGTATTATATGTTTAGATACTCACTTGGCATCCCTTCTTTGACGGTGTGTATGAAGAATCTCGGCCTGAGTGACGGTATGAAGCTAATGCTCTGCCTAAGTATACTCGCCTCCTTTCCGGCCGGACACCAAGGGCGCACAGCAACCATTGGAACCATGCGCAGCGTCTTGTAGCCCTCGAGGTAGACGCCGCCAGTCGACGGGTTCCATATGTAGAGACATGCTGTTTCGTAGAAGTTACGCAAATCCGCTCTATTCCTGACAATAAACAAAATTTAAAAAGTTAATACAGTAAAGACATTCTGGATGTAAAAGGTTTACCTTTTCAACCCATCGTCCCATAACTTGTCCCAGTATTCGGCATTGAGCCTTATAAACAGTACGCCAAGGACTTCACCGGTGACTTGACACACCTTGACGATTTCTGTGTCGTAGTCGCTGCAGAACCAAAACTTATAGCCTTCCATTTCGCATATCGCCTCAGCGGCTTTAAAACAGAACTGCTCGATGTCAAGGCTGCTCTGGCGCACTACGGCCAAAGGGCACGTCTAAAACAAATTTGTATTTAAATCCAACATGGCAAATATCAAATTTATCCGAACACTTACAAGTTTCTCGGCTTTCAGGTTGGATATCATTTCCATCTGGCTGTAGCTTGATCCATGTGCTGATATTGGCAGTGCACAATGGAAACCCGGACCGATGTCATCGTCTGATTTTTTAAAATTTGAATTAATTTATTAAGGTAATTAAAGAACAAATACAAACCTTCGATTTCTGTGATTGTCGATGTGATTTCTTGATCTATTTCGATGTAGCTCCTTGCAAATCTGACGGAACATCCGGTCACGGGCTGATGGCCTAAGCCAGATTTGATTTCCTTGCGCATCTCATCTGAAATATTTGCAATTTTTTCTATAGAAAATACACCTACTATATAGTGTCCTTTTTAAATGGCCCGACTTTATTTCTCTTGAACCAATGACACTATACAAAAAACAAAAATATGTCTTTAATATTTTCTTTTGTCTGGTTCCAAATTTTTACCTTTTTTTCTTTTCTTTTCATTTTTGGAAAAAATATACAGGGCCCAGTTCAACTTAAAAATTTCTAGTACGACCCTGTACATTCTGACACACCATTTTAAAGGAATTTTTTTCGCTGAAAATAATGGTGCAATTGGATTTTAAGCGAGTTGACATGTATGACTGTTTTATTGATAGTGAAAAAACAAAAAAACAGTCATTTAGTTTGCTATTTATTAATCACATTTTATATTCTAACTGCCTGCCTTGTGTAAAGATAGTTTTGCTCTTTTTAACCATTCTTTACCAGTGCTCAGAGTGATAGAGTAAGGGGAGATGGATTGACAACCAATTTGTATCCTTTGCTGCACTTCTTCATATGAGATTATGTTACAATTGGTGTAGACAGTCTTTTAAATGTAGCCAACATAAAATAGTCAAGCAGAGTTAGATCGGGTGACCAAGGAGGGCAACAGTTGGGGCCATGAGGTCCTACTGTCATTGTTGCGGAGGTACTGAACACAATTTAAATTATTTTCATACAAATAAGGCCCAATTAATTTATTTCCGAGAAGTCCACACCGAATGTTGATACTGTGAATCGCCTGATGATGACAAGAGTACAAAATTATCGGATTTTCCTCTGCCCATGTTCGAAAATTCCAATGGTTAGAGTATGCCGTAGAAGTGAACTTGGATTTGTCATTCCGTAGGATGTATGGAATAATGTTTTCTTCAGCCTCCCAAATCAACATTGTACAAGGAATGTTAGATGCCCATCGTAATCGGAGTCTCGAAGTCCCTGGATGAGATGAGTGTGACATGGGTTAAAATTCTAAGTCCGTAGTACACTTCTAATTTTATTTTTTGAAAAAAGAAAAAAAAACCCTTTCAACGTTTTCGAAACCGAATTCGGATTTTCGTGAACATACAGTAAAATATTCAACTCCTTGTTGAAATTACTCTGCTGGTTTCTTGGTGGTGGAACAGCAACTGATCCGTATCTCCTCATTTTGCGAGCAACATGAATGTTTTGTGGTTTACTCTGGGGCGATCAGAAAATTTTTGGGAGTACAACTCGACTGCATTACGCGCTGCCATACCACCACTATCAACAAGGCAGTCATAGTCATAAATGCCAACTTGCTGTTGATCGGAAAAATGTGCTCTTTGGAATGCAGAATGTAATGAACAGGTATTATTGTAAAATTTATTTACTTCCAGGAATTAAAATTTGCCCTCAAAATGCAAGTTTTACAAACAATGACAGAACGTAAACAATAAAGGCAATTAATGTTTACTTTAGTGAAGAAGCAAATATTGGAATTAACAACAAAACAAACAAAATGTATTTTTTTCAAACTTTTTACCATATCGTCGTCATTTTCTGACTAATTTAAAATCCGATTGCACCATTGTTTTCAGCATAAAAAAAAACCTTTAAAATATGACAGAAAGTATAGGGTCCTATTTGAAATGTTTAAGTTGAACTGGGCCTAAGGTACCCTGTAAATCTTTTTACAAAAAAAGGAAAAATTTAAAACAACTAAAAAATATTAAACACTTTTTTTTTTAAATAGCGTCATTGGTTCAAAAGAAATTCAGCCGAGCCATCAGAAAAGTACAAAGGACTTGAATTATATTTTAATAACATTCTAATAACAAAATAACGTAAGTGTAACTAACTTATTTTTAGTCTGTAAACCTTAATTAAAACCTAAATTTTAGTTTTAACTCCACTTCTCATGTAAAACGATTTAGGGGAAAAAATGAAAGTACATAATTACCTGTCAGCTCAACTTTGGCCCTTTGCTGGTTGCGATTCCTAGCCTGGGCGGACTTGAAATCGACACGTAGGCAGTCGCCGGGCCGCTCCTTGTTGTGCGGCTTGAGCGGAGACCACTTCTTCTTCCTCTCAACACCACCCTTGCCAAGCCCAGCTAGGAAGCCTGTCACGACTTTCTCCCTCTTTTCAGCCTCTGTCTCGGGCTCGGCGCCCAGGTCCCAGTCAGCGATTATCGCCTTGACAATGCTGGGCTCGGCAGTCTTGAACTGCGGCCTTCCGACACAGTCTTTTTCGTTCACTCCCATTTTTGAATCGTTGTCTTTCAAACTCGGCACTTCGGCGGGACGGATGTTTTCGTTGCCCTCTTTACCAAGCGGGACCAGCTCCTCGTCACTCCTGAACTCGTACATCTTGTCGGCAAGGCAACGCCTACGGTACAGCTTGAACTTGGGCTCACAGCATATCTCCTCTGACTCCATGAAATCATACACCTGTCAAATAACAAAATACAGAATAAAATCTCCCAATTCTTGGATATACATTCAAACTATTATGAACTATAATAACTAAAGGGTACTTACATTGTCGGCGTTGAAAGAACGTTTTACAGGTTTGGAATGCGTCACGCCCAAGTGTAGACTTCCTCGATTATTGGAACTAAACCATTTATGCTTCGGCCTATTGGCATCTAATAACATCACAGCCAACTGTCCACAAGTCATCAAATCCTTATCCTTCCTAAATTTACATTTCTAAAAATGAAATATACAGTTAAGTTAAGATATCATTCATATTTATTATACGACGTACCATGGCACTATGTCTTAAGAGATGCCTCTGAAGGGCATATTGCAGGTAAATATTCAACTGACTCTGATCGATCTGAAGGCCCTGAGAAATAAATGTATAATTTTTAGGGTGTAAAATATGTCTGACTGAATAATTCAAATTTTCCCTTTTGTATTTTTAAGTACAGTCTTTAATAAAAATATTAAACTGAAATTGATATTAGAGGCATCCACGGAAGGTTAAATAACAGCAAATAAAAATGTTATAAAAGTGATAAACTATTGTATTTCATTTTAATTTAAAGAAAAATTATTATTACTTTTTTGTAAATATTTATTATGATTTTTACAGCTGCAATTTTTAGTCGTAACAAGCAAATGAAATACCAGACATAATTACAATTTAGAATGTTACACTTGATAGGGCAAGACACCTTCACATTCACAAGCAGTGAATCATAAGCACATTAAGAAATAATAAATATACCTGGCGGAGTTTTTTGATGAGGAACTGAATCATGTTGCAATCCCAGTATTCACTTAGGAAAAGGGAATAGTTGCGATCTCTCAAAAATGAAAATGTGAGCCTAACGGAAGGGGAAAAAATGGTGAGTTGTCAATTTATGTTTGCTAATGGACATTAATGATATTATTTTACCTGTTTTTAATAACTGTTGAGTGATCATACGTTGGCGTCTCAAGACCATTTTCCACGCTCATCGAAAGTACGTGGAGGAATGAGCCGGTGTTGAAGACAATCCTGCCATCTGATGCTAGGCACGTCTCCGGGTCGAACGTGTAGACGTGAGGGGCGGAGAAGTGGGTGTGAATCGTGAGTCCGTGGTTAAAGCATGTCAGGCCGACACCCGCATCCCAATTCGCCGCCATCTCTACAAAACGAATTAAAGTTTACACGATTCATTTATTACGATGTTGACGATGATGATCGTATGAAAGCTGGTTGATCGCACAACAAACATTGATTCATTTATTAAGTAAACCAAGATGAGAACATCTCGTACCGTCTTCACTGAATGTGGAGGCTACCAGTTTGCATTTGTCACAGCCTTGCAGCGAAGGAAGTGTTGTCAGTGTGATGTAAGTCGAACTTTTAAACTCCACATCGCTTCCCCAGATGTCAACGCTGTTCGGCCTTAAAAAATGTTTATATGAAAAGAATATTATGTTAAATTTGAATAAAAATTACCCTTGGCAGCTTCCAAACACTAAAAGTCTCCTGTTGTCGTGGGGCCATTGTACAAGGCCGATCGTGAGCATTTCCGTGACTTGAGCACCATCGAACAGCTGCACCTCCGCTATCTTGGCCGAAGGCCGACCCGGCCGGAACAGCCAAAAGTGGAGCCTGTACCTGTACAAGAACGATGGAGCAAAATCTGTAGAGGTGTCGACGCTGTACGTATAAGTGAGGAGGATCTGTCCGCAGCGCGTCGCTCCCATGAGTATATGGCTGAAACGATTAGTCATTCAGAATCAAGATAAGACTTGACGTGCTCGCTGTACTTACTTTCCGACATTTGGTATGGTGTCACACAGGCTGAATACAAGACGGTCGGGCACTTTTGAAAATAGCTGCTTCGTCGGCTCATGGTGAACTGACACACCACGAATGAACTGGCCAAATATCTGAAATACACATCTGTTAATGACCTTTAAAAATAACAATTTATTGATTTCTAGATATTAAAAAAAGAAAACCGCAATATAACCTCCTCATCAAAGCTTAACTTAAGCTTTAGGGATAATTTTTTTTTACATTTATGTTATAAATGAAATAAGGATAACAATGTTGGAAGGATTAATTAATTGAAGAAAAAAAAAACTTCTTGTCAGGAGTCGTAATAGACCATTTTAAGACAACACCCACAAGAGTTAACAAATGACAGCCAGGAAAATCATTGATGATTGATTCGTTCATCTTTAATTGCTCATCATGATGAGCAGCCCTTATATCTTAACGGAGAAACATTGTCATATGAATAATTGATACACAAAAAATTATGACAGAAGGTGATGATCAGCAGTGATAAACTTTTATTTTAGATGAATACTTGTAAGATGTAAAACAGAGTGAAGAACAGTGAAAATCTTTAAAGATCTTCAAGGTTGGTCTCATATTGAATCCTACCAGCATTGGCCAATGAAGAACTAAACCAACAATGATTAAACTGTAAACGAATACTTCATTAAATTTCCAGAACCAATTATTAAAAAAATTAATTGAGAAAACCTCTCAAGGAGCCTTCACGATACAAGTTTGATCATAGCTGATCATCACTTCTATTGTTTGATAAGTCTCACATGTACCAAACCAGCCAGACATTTTGAACAGTGTTCAGTTTAGATTTTTTTAATGTTGATAATGATGTCCTCCAAAGGTACTTATTGGAAATGGCAAATGCAGAAGGAAGATCGGCGATGATTAAACTATTGGGCAATTGTTGAACATTGAGAAATGAGTAATATGTTTCATGAGACATGGCAAACGACAGAACAAAGAATATAATACGGACTGTTCGGGTTTCACAGTAAAACTGACACATGTCAGAAATAATGACGTTCAAACTTTTTTTACAACAGTGGATGAGTAATTATTGAAAGGAAAAAAATGGCCTGACCTCCATGGCTGTTCTCATGGGGTATGTGACACACAAAGAGCTGCATTAATGGATCACTGGTATGATCATCATCAAACTGTTGACAAACTTTTTAGATGTTCAATTTCTAAAAAGAATGTCACCATTATACACCCTTCAGCAGTAGGTTTGATATAAAATGTATTATGAATGAACACAGACTGGCAAGCTCGTTGCTGCAGTTGGAGAGAATTAGTGTAGTGATAGGACTGTTAACCGGTCACTGGCATCTGAGAAAACATCTACATAACAAGCGTATATAACAATGATCCCATCTGTAGATTATGTAATGAGGAGGAAGAAACAGCCACCCATATCTTCGAATGTGAAGCAACAGATCAATGGGGATATAACCTAGCATACGGAAGAACCTAGGAAATCAAATTGTAGCAACAAAAGTCAATGACAATACTTCTACAGAAGGATTGATAGACTGCACTGAACTAGGGAACTAGAAAGGTACAATAAGCCAGAACGTTGTCTGGGGAGCACAAACCCTGCTTCCTTGTATCATCACAAATAAACACCACAGATGATCAGCAATATCGTTCGAGTCAGCAAATGTTTAAGGCAATTTCAATACAAACCATTATTAAGTCCTAAACGAGTAGATTCGATATATGTCAGACATGACAAAACATTTACAAAAGGCCGCAGATGATCCACAAATATTTTATTAGTTTGAAAATGTTTTAAGGCTAGACCCCACCGTGTGACGGCCATCTTCTTGCATCTCATGCAGAGCGATTAGGGCAATGGAAGAGAGTCAGCTAGTCCTCACCTCTGCTCCGACTCGGCACCTACACATCGCACTGGCCCAACTAGTTTAGTTTAATTTTTGACGGACACGGATCATGTAAGCTCCAGCAAAGAGCTTATTTTTTAATATTTTGTTTATCTACCTATTCTCTAGTGTCTTTTTATAATCTTAGTACAATTTTACATAAAACTTTGTCTCTTCGCACTTTAGATGTGGAAGCAGCGAGTAAAATTCCCCTTCAACACAACTTTTTTCCATGCGTCGTGAACCCACATTCTTCTTCTGCGATGATTTCTTTGCCAATTAACATCTTCTTCCTCTAAAGCAAGTGCTATCATCCCTAATTCACTATTTTTAAAACTGCTTAACTTTTTCCTCAACGAAATGCTTCAAACAATGTAGCTTTGAAACTACTGTACTACTGAGTGTGTTGTCCAACACGGTAAGGACAAGTGGGGTCCTTTGTTACAGTCACTGCAAGTCAGCCGACTGTTGGTCACCACACAGTGTGGACCTGGTGCGGTGATGTGGGGTCCAGCCATTAGGCATGTAATTTCAAAACAGACCATTACACCCTTCAGTATTGCTCCCTTTTGTAGTAGGAAACATGATAGACATGATGATTTGTACAAAAGACTGCAGGCTATTAAACAATGATCAAACGAGTATTAACTGACCACAGGGGGTCTTTTTTTAAACAGTAAATTAATTTGCTCTGAAGGTGTAAAACATCTAGCAATATCACCGGTTGTCAAAATGGAAAAATTATCCGACAAGTGGACTGCGAGCAGAGATTCCCCATTCTGCTGAATCGCTCTGCTTGTCAAGTCAATCAGGGTGTCATCCTGCTCTGGAGTCCCTTTGAACAACATATCTCCAGGTTTTTTAATTTTAATTTTTTTTAAAGTTTTCTGTTTGTTAAAATTAAAACTGTCTTTTGTAAACTACCTGTCTGTTGTAGAGTTTCTGTAGTAAGTTCTGCCTGCCGTATTTCTTCAAATTCATATTTCCTCCGTCCGCTTTGGGTCAGGTGGCCGGGATGTCGTCTGTCGAGAACACCGAAGCCCCCTTTCATTACGCGAAAGGGGTAAATCGACGTTTTCTTCCCTTAGTTTGTTTTTTTATTTCTTTTTTTTTTTTTTAATCTTTGGGTAGTGTTAGTTTTTTTTTACGTCCGTCTCTAATTTTTTTTTCTTTTTTTCTGTGCGTCTTCCACCTCTTTTTATGTTCTCTATTTTCGCCCTCGTCGTCCAGGACCTAAGGTCAGGAACAAACCAGTCGGACGTCGTATGTAATTATCGTCGGCCTGCGGCTGGTTGGTGACAGTGTTGCCGCGATGGCTTGACATTGCGTCCGGGGGAAAAAAACAACAACCAAAAACAAAACACGAAACAAAAACTATAATTGCGTGTTTAAATATAAGTAAAATCAATTTCGAAAATTCAAAACTCAAATTTAAAAAAAATCAAAACTCGTTAATAAGCACAAAACAAAAGAAAAAACATGGCGAAATAAGTTCGAGCAAAATAGCTAACAAGGTAAAAAAATCAATACAGAAACAAAATTAGAAGAAAACAATCAATAAGAAAATTAAAAATTAACAAAATACTTTTAATATAATTTGTTATCATTATCAAAGTTGCGCGCATTGTCTCTTTATCTAGAAAGTTCCTATATGGTTATAACTTCATATTTTGTTTTGTTATATTCATGATCTTCAACTCTTCATCATAATCATGAATCCGGCCCTTGTCACGTTGGACTTCGATCATACGATCATAGACGACAACAGCGACATAGTTGTCCGGGACCTGCTCAGGGGCGGAGTGCCAAGCGAAGTTGAAAACCTACACAGCAAAAATGGTTGGACGAGGTAAGAAAACATACAAAAGATGATTAAATTAAAGAAAGATTAATCATCAATCTATCAATTAATCTTTTTAATTTTCTCCACCACTGACACCCGGGTGGAGAGATTTCTCAATCATCCATCTTTTAGGCCAATATATTAAGGTTTCTCAATGGATCAATCGATCCAAGCTGAAGTTCAATTTATGTATGAATATTTAATGAATAGGTATATGCAAGAGGTGTTCCGCCTTGTCGCAAAAGATGGTTACACAGAGACGCACATCAGGAAGGCGATATCTTCTATACCACCTGTGCCGGATTTCCTCACGTTCTTCCATGAGCTGAAACACCTCAACGCCGATGCGATCATCATATCGGACTCGAACTCTTTCTTCATACGAGCCTGGCTCGAAGAGTATGACCTGCTCAACAGCATCGCAGACGTTTTCACGAACCCGGCTGAGTTTGAACGTGGAGTATTGCTCATTAAAGAGTACATGAACCAAGACTGGTGCAGGCACTCGACTGTCAACTTGTGCAAGGGTGAGTCGAAACAACTTGTTAATTGTTTTGTAAAATATTTTTGAAAATTTTATACTTTGATGGGCCAAAAGTCAATTTTTTAATCAACTGTTTATGTTCTTCCTCATCCCTTTTCACTAAGTTTATACTTTTGACCTCTTTTTGACCGATGATAATTTGTTGATAAAGTATATCTGTTACTTGATGAGACACACATGCAAATAAGTTAAATTTTCTGTTTACGTTTGTAATCTATGTTGTAAGATAAAAGTAATCTACTGTACCCGATCAAAATTGGTTTATTGTGCAATCTCTATTTTTATTTAGACCTCTTCTTAAGGTTTTGTCCATCCTAAAGCTTTGTTAAAGCTGACAAAGTAAGAGCCTTGTCTTTTCATTCCTCCAAGAGGAGGAATCTCAGCCTGCATAGGCCTTTGTACCAATATGGAGGACATGTTCTGCTGCTTCTTCTTCTGCCTGGCAATACCTGCATTGGTTTCTTAATACTGAATGTCCTCCAGTTTTTATGTGATTTTATCTTTATACATATTCAGTTTTGACAGAATTAATCAGTAACTGAACGATTTGTTGGGTAAAAGACCAAATGACTACCAATGAACTGTGTGATTTACTGAACTAATTAACGACCCTGTCATATGGAGTGTATTAACGTATGACTAATGATTTATATAATTAGTAAATGACTCTTTGAAGGAGAGAACAATTTAGTGAATGGCTGTTTTACTTAGCTAGTGAACTTCTCTTTAACGGATTGAGTGAGTTAGTAGCTGATTTGTTGACCTAGTGAATGACTCATTGACTGACAGAGTGAAAGAGTCATCGATTGACTTGCTTATTGAACTAGTGAATAATTCACTGACTGATTTAACGAATGAACAAAGCGAATAATTACAATTGGTTAAGGTTTTTAGTTGAGATAAAAAAGTCAATGGCACGAGCGGGATTCCAACCCACGATCTTCGGCTTGATACGCCGCTGCTCTACCACTTGAGCTATCGTGACCTCGATCCATTTGGAGACCAACTTCCTATCTCAACCTCACCTTTTGAGTTTTTCCCTCCTTTTTGCCATTTAAAGCGAATAATATTGGTCTGTCGTGCAATTATTATTATCTTCAACTCTTCGTTAACCTTAAAGTATTTTATCAGATCCAAAAGCTTATATATATATTTTTCTTTTTTCTTCCCCCAGTGGCTTCCTAGTTGTCCCTCTGCACTGTGTAGCCTTTTGATCTCCTTGGTGTTAAATAGAAAGTTATTCAGATATCGTGAGATGTGGTCGGGAGAATCTCACGATATCTGAATAACTATCGATTAACGGTCACTAATCTCTACACACGTTAAATAGAAAGTGGCATATTGCCCAAAGTTTTTAAACATTCTAGTCTTTGGTTTATTTCCATACATACCAGCTCCTGATGCATACTCTGACTTAAAGACATATATACTGAACATAGTCAACATTAATTTGGAAATTTTTTATTAAATGTAAGCCGTGTCGTTGTAGACATCCCTAGAAACATGTATTGGGTTGTCCGGAAAATAATGCAGGATTTTGGTATTAAACAAAAAAAAAGAAACTAGTTACTTTAAAGCAATGTTCTTTAATCAAAATANGACATTCATACAAATGAGTAATCCTGTAAACGTAAACAGAATATTTTATATAGATTTTTTTTAATGAAAACTTAAAATCCTGCATTATTTTCCGGACAACCCAATAAAATATTGTTGTTCATCTGAAGTTAGACCTTTAGCTTCAATTGTTCCTTTTTATGCAAATAAGCTATTGGAGCCTGTTTCTGCCTGTGCATTGTGGCTCTCGTCTCTACCCAGATGAAGATACGTGTTGTGGTAGTTTCAGGAGCACTCTCAGGGTCATTCACACTGCTCCTGCGCACCAGTCATCATCCAACAAACTACCATCCTTGAGTTATCACACACATCGCTCAATCTTTCTCCCTTTCTCTCTCTCTCTTTCTCTCTCTCTCTCTCACTCTCTCTTTCTCTCACTCTCTCTTTCTCTCTCTCTCTCTCGCTCGCATTGACCTCTTATTACTTTCAAAACTCTCGTAGAAGAAGAAAAAACATAAAATCCTACTTAATTAATGTTTCATATGATTTACCAGACTTATTTTTCTATTTTATTTTATGTATTTTATTTTTTTCAATTTAGGATACATCCTGGACTCTTTTAAAGAGCGGAACAGGCTGAATGGCAAAGAATACTCGAGGACGTTTTACATTGGGGATGGAAAAAATGACTTCTGCCCGTCACTCAGACTGACGAAGGACGACTTCGTCTTCCCCAGGGTTGGCTTCCCACTGGCAAGGAAGCTCAGCGAATGTGATGAAATCAAGGCAACTGTCTGCCCATGGTCGCACACAAGGGAGATAATGGATGTGATCAAAGAGTATGCCCCACTGTGACAAGCCCTGTGATACTGCCTCGTCAAGATGTAAATAGCAATTTTCCTCATCTGCTCTCCCCCTTAATCAGTCACATTTTTATACGCCAAAGAGCACCACTTGTACATAAGGCTGAAAGCTAATTATATTTTTTATGTTATGAATAATAAAAATATTAAAGTAGATCTTTTTTGTGTTTAAGGTGTCATGAAAATTTTTAATCAATTTATGTAATAATCAATTTATTATGTTTCCATTTTCAGGTTAATTTATTATTAATGATAAATCAAATATTATTTTATTTTCAAACAAACAATAATTTATAAAACAAATTATTAGTTTGTATTTGTTTAAATTTAATTTGTTTAGGTCAACAAAATTTTGTTATTTTTGTTTTTACTATATGAAAATGTAAATAGTTCACCGGCCCAACAAATAGTTTAAAAAACTAGCGCTGTTCTCGCTATAACAAGAAGTAGCACATGAGAGCAGACGTGTCTACTTATATCAAATCAAACAATTCACAGGTTGGCAAAAATATTTTTTCTTTTGTATGATTATTTGAATTGAGATTTTTCTATTTTATTTTGAATAATTTAATTTGGTTTGTTTATTTTATAGAAAGGACTGTAATATTTTTTTTGTAATTTGGATTTTATTTTATTTGTATTATTTCCACTGCGCAGCAAAGATTTGCTAAATAATATATTTTTTTAATTATTATTATTACTGTCCCACTCGGCACATTTGAATAAAAGGTACCATCATTACAATAGTTGATGATGATGATGATTACTAGGAAATGGGGAGGGGGGTTGTTCACCAAGCACTGCAGATTTCTGGCTTATTGTACTTTCTAGTTCCTTAGTTTAGTGCAATTGAGTCAATCCTTCTCCTAAGAAGAACTAGGTCATGGACTGATGTTCCTACAATTCCTTTCCTTTGTTTTTTGTATCCTAGGTAATGTCAACATTGAGCAGTTGTTTCAAAGATGATATGGCTGTTTCTTCCTCCTCATCGCATAAATTGCATCAACTTACAAGTAAGATCATTGAATATGCCCATATTGTGTAAATGTTTTCGCAGAAACCAGTGGCTGCTAGTCCTATTAGCCATGAGTTAGCTAGTCTTGATGATGAGGGTTGTTTTAGCATAAGCTTACTATGTCTAGTGCCCCTATGGTTTATTCATGTCTCCTTATGTATTTCTTTTATCCATTCTATGATAGAATATTCTGTTTGATTTTGTTATCCCAAGAATAGTTTCAAGGCTTATGGAATGCAGATCCACCTTTGGCCATTGGATTTGCTTTTTTGTTACCCAAAATTCCCTTGTGTCCTGGTAATAAGATATCAGTTTGTTGTGTTTCCCCAGGTTTTGGAGATTTTGAATGCATTCACTCTCTAATTTTGATGTGATTTTTTTTCATGCTAATGCTTTAAATAGCTGCTTGGCTGTCCAATCTTATGTAGATTTTTTTATCAGTGTAATCTCTTTCAAGATTTTCTAAGACATAATCGTAACCACAAGAAAGATCAAGGTGTACTTCCTATTTTTCCCCTTATTTTTATATTTTACCATGTTTCTGGTTCTTAAGTTCTTTTTGAATCGGAGTTGACCAGCAATGCTACATAGTTGCAACCCTAATAACTGCATATGTCCCACACCATTAACTCGACGGATTTCCTGTTAACCCTTAAATTTATTTTAATAATAAATGCATTCTTTTGGTAACTAACCTCCTTGAAAAAAAAAAGGATAGCCCAGGCATACCCTGAGTAGGAGAAAACCAGCTCTTCAGATGTTCACAGGCGTGTGTGAGGGTCCATGGTGGCGCAATGATCTAGAAATTAATTATGAACCAATTTTTCAATATTCTCCCTGATGCATTGCGTGATGAGAGAATGTAACAACATATGCAATATATGTTGATTTATTTAATTCTTCTGTTTCCTCATTAAAACATCAGTTACTTAAAGCATAATAATTGTATTTAGTAAAAAAAAGTACTATGCATGTTTTTATAAAGCTTTATTATATTATTTTTTGTATAATTCCTGGTCATTATAATTGTATAGACTGGGTGTTTAATTAAATCTTTATGTTGTTCTTTTTCATTGATATATAGTTTAGTATTTTATTCTTTATTAATGTTGAGTTAGTTATAAACATTCTATTGTATATATTTTTTCTCTCTTTCCTTTTGTATAATTTTTTTTTAAAAGAAATTGGTTTTTGACCAATAAAAAATAAAGTAAATCTGTTGTGAGAAACTTTGGTTCATCAACTTTTAGGTGATCAACTAAACTTTGATACAGTCAAACTTTTATAGCTCAAATGAAAACTTCAATTCAAATGGTGAGTTACATTAACATGATTTGAAAAGTGAACATCACAGTTGACAGTTTCCAGGTCAACTTTTACACTGTGCATGTTGTGTTGTTTTATTTGTAAAATTGTTAAAAAGCAGAAATGTTCCTCAAGTGTGCTTGAAATGTGATGCTGAAATTATTCAAATTTGAACTAAAAAGAATAAATGAGTTTAAAATAATAGATAAAACAAGGTTGTCACCGGCTAGAAGGCAGGTGAGTTTGAGCGATTGACTTTTGTGTATAAGTGAGGTAATGAGAATAGCAAGACAAGCGCAAAACCCAAATATCTATATTGGATTTTATTTTGACGAATTTGTTAAATTTTATTTATTACCCCAAAGGTTGGCATTATGTTTCTTTTTTCCTTGTTTATTTAGCCATGCTCTTCTATCTCTCCACTGGTTATAAATCGGTGGTGAGAGGGTGATAACTCATCATCGTCCAGGTGGCAAATCACCATAGTATACACATTATGTGACAAAAAATATATTTTGAGAAAAAAAAACTTACCACGAAGAAGTGAAGCTTTAAAGCAGTTGCAACCTGAATTGTCCGTGAGAATGGCAAGAAAAGAGCCACTGATGTCAGGAACCTTCTGTGAAAATAAAAAATTAATGTATATTATATTCCTCAAAATGCTTTCCAAAATTAATGTCACAAAAAAATTAATGATGTTAGGGAATCATTGGCCTATCCGATTTCAAGCCAGCTTGCCCAACAATCTGAACGCTTAATATTTTAACACAATTGGATGTAATTAAAAAAAATTAATATAACTCTACATGACCATTGATTATAAATGTGATGGGATATCAGTTGATGGGTATTGGTATAAAGAAGATGACTTCGTATCCTGGCCGTTTCAATTTAGGTCGGCCAGGATACGAAGTCGTCTTCTTTATACCAATACCCATCAACTGATATTCCCATCACACACTGATATTAACATCACAAAAAAATTAAGCTATCTAGTTTATATTACTTTTAACTTGCTGATACAATAGGTTTTAATTATGTGGGAAATTCTTTAAAATATTGCAGGTACATTTTCCCTTCCTACTTTTTTCATATTCGTGAATATCACCTTGAAGTAGGATTGATGATTATCTCTGTTATCTCCTTAGACCCAATAGCGTCTAAAAAATTTGAAGATTTTGCAATTTTTATTTCTATTATAAATAAATTACACATCTCTATTCAAAACATAACGAACAAATCATCAAAATGTTGGACAGATTTAATTGATTTATCAACTTTTAGGCCTGGTTCACATGGAGGTGATCAGTACAAGAGACGCGTATGTGATACCGGTAGGAGATACAAAAGTATCCAAGCGGTTCTCCTGGTGACTAGATTCAGTCACCTCCCCTCCATCTCTTCTCGATCCTCTTCCAAGGGGTTTAAAGACCTAGATGCTATATTAGATTTATTAGGGATATAGATGGACATTAATGGGCCTTGGTGTTCCCAACAATTGCCTAGGTTGGTGGGAATTACAAATACCGAGAAATGCTCTAGTTGGATATGAACTCTAGGTAAAAAGCCTCAAGCTTAATGAGGAGGCTGGGTCCTATATAATCTTATCTAGATGTTTGATTTTGTCATATTTTTATAATGGACGAGTTAAAAGCTGTAACTATTTGGCTGTCTTTTAGATAAAAACAAGTAAAAGTAGAGAAATGTGGGTTCACCCACATTTTGCCATGCATTTTATTTTTTAACTTTATCCCCTTAATCATGCACTGTTGTTCCCAAGCACGGGATATGTTTGAACCAATTCAATTTATTTATCGCCATCAAAAATGTCACTTCTGTCCATTTTTAAAAGTTTCACAGAAAGCTTATGAAAACAAGTGTCAGGCGGAGTGATCTGCTCATAGCCTTCAAGTCTACTCACCATATCCGACTTGGCTACTGGCAAACCATTGCACTCGGCTACCTGCTGCACCAGAGTCCCTTCAACCAATATAGTAAGCCAACTCAGATCCCCAGACCTCCCAACTGCTCTCTCTACCAACACACTCAGTCTTGGCCTCATTCATCGTGTCAATGCCATGCTTCAAAACAACACCAACCCTTGTCAGGGCCACCAAAAATCTCCCAGTCACTAAAGACTCATGCGAATAAAATGTCAGCCTACTTGTTAAATTATATTACAACAATAAAACAAATAAAATTGAACAAATTTCTCTTTATAAATAAAAGGAAAACACTTTTTTTTATAGTTTATATGGAATTTTAACATACTTGCCATTTGAGCCAACCGGAGGTGCCAGTAGCCAAGTACCAACAGGCTTTTAATTCATTGACCAAAATAAATCAATATCCAAATTATATAATAATATAAAACTGATCAATTGCTATGCAATTCATTAAAAAACACAGATCTAGAATATTTTAATCTTTAAAAAAATGTCATAAATGAAAACTACCTTTTTCAAGAGAGAAAATTTGTGACTTTGATACTTTGCTGCCTTGGTGAAAGAGGGAGGAAGGCGGGAATATTATTTCCCCACCTATTGATAAATAATCTTACAATTCTCTTACAAATTAATTTTAAAAAAGAAAGGAAAATGTTTAAAAATAATAGCAACCGAATATTGTATTTTTTTTTTTTTTTCTAACGCCCAATTCTTTTAACAATTTAAGCATAATTTAGTACTTTTGTGAGATGGTTGATCAAGCTGCCATTGATCTGATAGGCCGACGATTAAGTTAAGTTTTCAAAATTAATTTAATTTAAAAAATAAATAATTAATTATTAACTATTAGTTAATTTTATTTTGTAATATTTTTGGAAAGGATTTTAAGG